AGAATGTTAATCTGTATTTTCTGGTATATAAGTTGCAACTGATAAAAGACAAAAAAGCAAACCCTGGGATGAGACGATGATGGAACATAGATTTTGCAGTGTGAGAAGCAAAACCCTTATGGACATTATACTTATTGCTATGTCATATATACCAAAATATACAATTTTTAAGATATTTGAGGCCTCTACTCCAAAAATGGCAAGATTTCTTTTTAAAGCCCATCACAGCTTTATCAAGTAAAAACAATTCTTCTCAATGCTCCCGCACTCTCCTCAGTATTCTTTATTATTAAATTAATCATTGAATTTACCTACCAGTCATATCTGGTGGCTTTCACTGAAGATCAAATGAAAGGAAGTATTCTCAAGTCACCAACACTCATCATTATTTTAATCATTGGCATTTCCTACCAGTATTATCCAGTAGATTTCACTAAAGATCAAATGGGACCATGTGTTCTCAATATTACAGCACTCTCCTCAGTATTTTTTATTTTCATTTTAATCATTGACTTTTCATGTCGGTACTGTCTGGTGGTTTCCACTGAAGATCAAATGACAACAACACACATCAGTACTCCAGCACCTTACTCAGTATCCTTGCATTTATTGTCATATTTTTAATTATTTCATTTTTGTGGGTATTAATATTACATAATGCTTATGCCTAAAGTGCAATTAGCTTGTTCAACAGCACTTTCTTTTGTTTATATTCTGTTTGTTTTTTTTGGGGTTTTTTATAACTAAGTTATCCTAAAAGGGATATAAATATTGTTTCTTTTTTATATCTGAGATATCTCAAACATATTCAAGATCCATGTAATTACATCTAAAGATATTATTATCTTTGTTGGCTTCCATAACTTCCCTCTTGCTATCATTTATCGGCAGTAGGAATAAAATAATAAGTTTGATTGCTTTCTATAAACTGGACAGAATCTTGAAAATTTGCCATTTTTATGTGTGGAAGCTTCAAATATTGCACAATTTTGAAAGCTATTTGAAGAAAACAAAGTGAAAAAAAATGTCTTCAAATAAATTATCTGCTTTGAAGAATTCAGAGAATCAACTGGCATTACTGTCATCGCATAGCAATGGACAGAAGAAGCTTCTTAAATCTTTGACGGCCTTCAATCTGGTTTTAAGGTGAGATATTCATTATGTTGCTAGCATCTGACATTTTGATCAATGATAAAAATAAAAGAAAATTACTGAAATGACAAACTAAGAAATTTCTCCATAGCAGTGTCTATATTCTGAAGAGTCAAACACTGAATTGAAATAATGAATGGTTTTTCCTTTCTTTTTCATGGCAGATTCATATAGACACACACACACACACATATATATATATATATATATATATATATATATATATATATATATATATATATACTATTGTTTTATTTTTTTATAATTTTTTCTTTATCTTTGTATATCTGTGATCTGTGTCTGGAATATCTTGATTCCATTTCATAAAATATAGTCAGTTTGATGAGATTAATATGTTTATATTCATCAAAATAAATTTATTACTGACTATAAATTTTTAAGGGTTTTTCATAATGATTCTTTATATATATATAAAAGCCTTTTCCATCCAAAGATACCAGTCTACTTACTAGGATGGCTAAGTAATCCCCATTGCAGACGTCTGTTCAGGCATATTTGTGTTTGTTCAAAACCGTGGTTTATACTGTAACTATGCTGACTGGGCCTTAATTACAGTTTCTGGAAGAGAGCGCATTATCTAGCATGATCAACAGTTTGAATAAGGCCAGAACGCTCACACCCTCGGTCATGATGATTTGTGACTTTGTGCTAGCACAACCACTGACAGTTACCAATAGTTTTGTCTACCCAATTTCATTCAAAGGTTTTGCTCAGGTTATACCCATGGTATGGTTTTCAGGCATTTCCCAAAGGTGCTGTAAGATGTGATCACCTCCTCCAGACTAATAACACCAAGAAGTCACCTTCTTGAAAAATTGACCATGAATGAATCGACCCATGAACAGATTTGAACTCAAGTTTCATAGTCAGAATGTGAATGCACTAAACACTTGGCCACATGCCCATTATATATTTTGATTATAGGTGCAATTCAATTTATAATTACATGAATCATTCATACAAAAAAACAAATATAGAGGTTAATGATTTAAATGGTGAGAATACATCTTCACAAACAATTTCAATAAGTTACACTAACCCCAAACCTGTATATGAATGATATGATCTCTGTTTATAAATTCCAGTTTCATAAGGTCACTTTTTTGTTTTTACAAGCTTTCGTCTGTTCCTACAGACATCCTCAGGTATGGAAATAGATTTGTTCTTGTTTTTTACTTCTCGGTAATAAGAGGACAATGAAAATATAGATGTAATCCGAAAAAATGCTATGAGAAATGTGATATTGTTTTGGAATGTGCAGTCACAACGCTGAGTTTGAATTTTAAGGTTATGTGTTTTTGTACAAATATAGTATTAAGAGAATTTTTTGTACTGGTAGGTTTTCTGTCAATGTGGCATGAACTATATATATATATATATATATATATATATATATATATATATATATATATATATCCAGGTAAAAGAACAAATGGAGTATAGTTCCACTGTACATAACATTTAATTTAAAAGAGGGCTCAATACATAGTAGTGCTATTATTTATTTTATGAGATATATATATATATATATATATATATATGTGTGTGTGTGTATCTTGACCTCTTATGGTAGAGTTCAAGCATTGATTACTTGGCCTCCTATATATAATTACAGTGCACTAGATGGAGCAAAATATTTGGATGTGTTTTTTTCCTATTTAAAAAGTACATATCATAGTGGGGCAAATGTACCAAATAATATTTTTTTCCTTAAATTTTTATAAATATTGCCCCTTATCAATGAAAAATGTCAGAGATCACATATTAAGAAAAAGTAACCTTTTTAAAACCTTCAGCACATTTTTATATGTATAGGCCAAGAATAGAAGAGTATTGATTCTCCAGAGACTAAACAAAATCTGTAGAAAGCAAATATTCATCACAACATTGTGTGAAGGACAAAATGAAGACAAGCTGTGAATATCAAAAAGGGGAACATTATGTCATCATTTAGATCCAAATTTAGAGTGTTAATGTGAATATAAAGCTGCACCTAAAGCCATGAAAAATAATTTTTAATAAAATAATGAACAGATTTTTAAATCCCTTCTTGGCTTTTTTGACATCCTATAAAATAAAATAAAAGAAATATTTTGAAGCTGTAAGAAAGTATTTTTGTAGTAATCAAATAGTCTTGAGTTTATTGCTGAGCCAATCGAGATTGCAGTGCAAAAAGAAAAAAAAAATGTCACGATCAATAGTTGATAAGGGAACTCTCAGAGATGAGGAAATAAAATGACAATATGAATAAAAGAAAAAAAAAATAGAAGAGGGTTAGATTTAATGAAATGAAAAAAATATGAAAAGAAAATTGACAATTTAACTCGAGTCAATGGATAACAATTCAATATTTGTTCAAGTAGAAAATAAAAGGCAAATTAACTAATTGTACCCAGGAAGGATTTTAAAATTTAATCATTAAATGTTCAAATTTAAATTGGATTAATGTTTTTTTTTTTGTTATACTTGATTTTTAACTTTCACTTAATGAACAAAAATTTAAAGCTACATTCCATTTCTGATGCAGACATGCAGATGGTTGATTAGGACAGACCTGCCATATGACTTATAAGCAACGCCATATATATATATATATATATATATATATATATATATATATATATATATATATATATATATGATAGAATCAGAAACAAATAGAAAACCTTTATAAATTTAATGTTTCATTTTATTTAACCTTCATCAGAAATTAAAAAAAAAAAAACAATTATCTTAAATAAAAGCAAAATATGTTAGCCATAAATATTTCTTATTTTTTTTCTTTATCCTGATAGATTTAAATCCATAGTTGAATCCTAATGGCAAAGTAGAAAAATTTCTGTGCAACACATTTCAGCTACTAGAAGGACTTCATCGGACTAAAGTAATGTTTTTATTGATGGAATTATGTGTTGCATAAGGAGAGTGAATATAAAAATGCAGGTGTTGGTTATAATTATTCACCAACAGGAAATACTGAAGATATTGGAACTTGTATTTTTATATCTCCCCTTCTCCTTTCTAAACATATGTAATTCCATCAACAAAAACATTAGTCAGATGAAGTCCTTCTAGTGGGCGAAACATGTTACACAGAATTTTTAAAACTGTCATTCATTTGATTCATATTGTTCTCATAGATAAAACCTTATATATCACATACATGCATGTTTTATATATATATATATATATATATATATATATATATATATATATATATATATATATAGCATCATCACAAGACAAAAATCAAAATTCAGATTAAAAAATGAAAAATAAAACCAGCAATTTTAGGAACAGATATTCAAATATACAGGCCCTTCTCAAATATGAAATTGGAGCAACACAATCTTCCTCCAATTTCACCAACAGATGTATTAAGCTAATTGTATTACAAAAATTACTAACATAAACTTTGTCACTATACAAGGATCAATCACTAAATCTGTAGCCTGATACATTTATTAGTTATTTTTGTATGAAATTCTCACCGAGAAAGTTTGGTTGTTGTTTATCATGGAATTAAGTACATTGACAAGGAAGCAGATTATTATGCAAAAATAAATGCTTTTTTCATCATTAGGCTACAGACTTATTGACATACCCACATATCTTTTTAAAAAGTGTGTAATGGATATTTAGATGTTAGTGATTCTTTAAAATTGTGACCTCCTAGGTACAATGGGTTAATCTAATTTAAAAATCTTAACAAGCAATATCTAATCAATTTCTGAAAGTGAAAATGCCATGCATTAACTAAAAAAACAAACTATTTCAATGAGTAACAAGAGAGAGAGAGAGAAAATGAGAAAAAAGCATTTACTTACCAATCCCACAATCAGAACCTTCATATCCTTGTTTACAAACACATTTTCCACGAACGCATTCTCCGTTGCCGTTACAGGTGGGGACTTCGCAGGCATTTGCCGGAATCTCACATTCTTGACCCTTCCATCCAGGGTGGCACCTGCACAAGCCTTCATCATAGTAACCATTTCCTTTGCATAATACAGGACAAGTATCTGAAAAGGGACAATTGAAATGGCTAGATGGAACCATAAGTTCTATGCTAAGAGTTTCTTCTCTCACAATTCTTGCTTATGGAACTTTCTTCCAGCTCCTTGTTTCCCTGTCAAATTTGATCTTCAAAAATTTAAATGCAATGCCAATCATTATCTTCTGTCTCTTTAATTTCTCTTCTTTTATTGTTCTTGATCCTTAATAATTTTTTTCTTTTCTTTAGATTTTTTCTTACTCAGTAACCCCTTGTGTCTTTATTGCCTTGCTTGGGGATGAAATGATTAAAAAAAAAAAAAAAATAGCAAATTATTTTTAATATTTTTCCAGTTTATAAAGTTTTTGTATATTCACATCAAATTCATAGATAAATTCTCTGATGTTCATAATATCTTTGAGCACTTTCCAGTGCTAACTCATAATGATCAGAGAACCAAATAAGTTTTAACCAACACTTTTATCAACTACACCCTAGTCAATTAAAATGTATCTTGTTCCTTAACAGTTGTGTGTTCAATCCCTGAATCCGGTAGTGCTGAAAATTCTTGTTTAGTAGAAGCTGACAAGCAGCAAAAAAAGGGAATGTGGCTCTTGCTTACTGACCAATATAACTGATATCTCCTAAGCATGGAAAGAAGCATGATGAATGGAATAGAGGGTTTACTTCAGAATTCTAAGAAGCTCACTGAGTAAAAAGACAGACATCTGAAGATGGCTGATGAGTAAATGGTCGAAATACTGTGAATATGACAAGCAAAATGAGCACACTTGTTAGAATTCCTAAGTAAGTAATGAAATCTTTTAAATACACATATTTTTGCCTTTTGGATAATTATGCTTGCTTTAGCTAGAACCCAGCAGGAGCCACATTCATTTATACTTTCCGAACCAATATGTTATGGTAGTTAATATATATAAAGACATCTTGGTAGCTCACAAGAAGTGGTTTTGTAGTTAGTTTTATATTCAGTGGGGGCTCTATTTTTGCCACCTCATGTCATATTTATCTAAGATTAGTGAATAAGGACAACTGAAGAAATTAAAATTAGGATAAAATGTAAAAGAAGGAAAATGGGGAAAGAGAAAATGAAAAATAAGAAACAAAGAAATTGGTGAAAAATGAAAGAAAAACATTATAGAGAAAGAGAAAAGGGAAAATGAAGAAAAATGATGGAAAAGTGTTAAAAAGATGAGAGAGAATGGAGAAAGGGAAAATTAAGAGAAATGATGAAAAAAATGTTAAAAAGATGAGAAAAGGAAAAGGGAAGACAAAAAGGACAAAAATGAAGAAAAAAAAGCTGGAATCAAAGCAGAAAAATGACAATTTGATAAACATACAGAAACAATATCCAATGAGAAGTCAGAAAACAAAAATCACATTGGTTTTTAAACAAAAGAGACTCAAGACTAAAATGTTAGATGTGGTTGCAATTTAAATTTTAAAATAGATAAAAAAAAACGAATAAAGTAAATTATTCAATGAAGAGATTATGAAACTGACAACATATTTAATCCCTTGATTAAAATAAATTCTAAACAAAATGGTTTTCAGAACAACAGAGAACAAAGAAGACATACGAAAAAGGATAACAAAAAATGGTGGATCTACAACGGAAATCATTTTGGCATAAAATGAATTCTTGAAACTATCGACATTGCATTAAGGAAGTTTAAAACCAAAGACTGTCAGAATTATCTCAATGTGTTTTTCTTTTTGTCCCTCGATCAGTAATAAACTTTCTTTTGACAGAAGATTTTGAAGAGAAGAAAATAGGAAAATTTTGCATTTGAGAAAGAATGGTTTTATTTAAAAGCCAAGCAAATGTCAGGATTTTACAGTTTTTGTGTTTTGAGATTAGTGTGAAAAGTTGACTGCATTTCACTTGGCAAATAATTTGCTGGTATTATTGAGACATTAGATTCTCAGTCATAACTAAAAATGTATACAACAGCTATTTGCTATTAATATATAATAAATTGTAAATAATTGCATATATTTCTTGTAGATATTTAAGCAAGAATTAAAAAGAGATTATATTTGGGGAAGTTAGTTTCATGCCTTTAACACTGGTACTGGTTTGAAAGTGATGATATTTTAATTTTGAACAGGAGTAGAGGTTTATCCCTTGTTCTCTATTTAGAATTGGGTTTCTGGTTCCTTCTAAAGTCTTTTCATTCTATTTCATACCTAATTGTCGCATGTGTCTTAGTGGTATTATGGCCAGCTCTAAAACTGCAGAACTTAGCAAGATCAGTTGGTATTGTTCAGTATTCAAGGGGATAGCCAATATTAAATTATATTAATATACATTAACCACACCAGATTGCTATAATCAATTTTTTTTTAATAGAATATTATAAAAGTTAATAGAGGGTCCAGTTTTTGATATTTTTTTTTTATATAAATTCATTGTAAAATGATCTCCCCTACAGAAACCAAAACAAGTATTCTCATAAGATGTGACCATCCTCTATATGACAATAAACTACATCCAGTAGCAAAGGCCTCTGTTTGGGAAGTTAGAGGAGCATGGAACCACTTCTTAATTGCTGTTGTTCCCAGGCCCACCTTGAATAGCCCCTATTAGGGTCCCAGCTATGGTTAAATAGTTAACCCCCAAACTGGGGTCAAAATACTATGAAAATGTAAAAATAAATTTTTATACCAGCAATACATTTAAAAAAAAATAAAAAATAAAAATATTGCCAATAATACATTTGATTCTCGACAAAAACCCTCTTTACAAAAATACATCTATGAGACCTGATTTACAACATGATTTTTTTTAGAAAGAATACATATTCTACTCAGACAAACCTATCCTAAAAATCTAAAAAATACAAGCCAATGAGGTGTTGATATGCTATAAAATAAACCAAATGTTCAGACCTTGCTCTCTCTCAAGACAAAACTACTATAATATAAACAACATGCCTGAAGTGTCTGAGAAAGCAAAAATGGACAATATAATACTATTTTTTAAAACAGTCAGCCTATACCAAAGAATAAACCAAATGAGAATGTCAATAAAACCAATTTCTCTACAAACTATATTTGAAAAGAATACATCAATGAATCCAGACTCTCAACAAAAATCCTCTTTAGAAAAATACATCAATGAAACCTGATATACAAATTGATTACTTACATACTTTATTCATATGAACCTATCCTAAAAATTCTCAGCGTTAAATAACAAAATAAACAAATAAACCAAAATTATAAGATGTGATTTCTTAAAATACAAATTTTAAAAATAAATATAATATAAATACAAATAAATATAGTACAAAAGAAATTTGAAATTCATAATCTGGAGTGCATAATTGATAGTTACCGTATTTTCTGGCTTACAAGGCGTACCTTTTTTTATGTTGAAAAATATGTGTGCGTCTTCCAAGATGAATGTAAGGCAACACCCAGGCTCAAGTAAGCTTGGATGGTCACCTAATTGGCTTGACTGATAGGGACATGGATTTGTATGCTGAGTCATTACACTATAACATTAGTTATCTAATTCAGCTTTTTTATATGATGTAACCTCAGTATTTAGCTGTTGCAAGTATTTCCAAGACTATAAACCTTCCTGGAGCTGAGCCACAAGCTTAAAAATGCTCTGTTTACCAGCAGCAACATGAACCTTTTTATTCTTGATGATTATGTCATTTCCATACAAACAAAATCAGATGAGTGATTACTGTAAACAATACGTGGCACCAATATGTGAGAGATGCATGGTGAATGTGTTGTTATATGAGAGTGACTTTTTTTTTTTCTTAGAAATTTCTTTCCAGTATTAAGGAGTGTCTTCCAAGCCACAGTGTCTTGTAAGTCGGAAAATACAGTATATATTAAAAGACAAAAAATTACAAATTTCATTTTTTTTACATTTTAGGAAATCACATGGTACGAGTATATTTGTTTTGGGTTCACAGGGGGATGAATTTGTTTCTATGTGCATGTCTCTTTGATCATGGCTCTCCACAATTTCCTGTCCTGTGTAGCTCTTAATAAATGTTGTTTAAACTTTGTTCTGCCATCCATTTACTTGATAGATAGGTTATGCACTGTTTTCCTGTTTACTTCTTGCCTTTAATCTGTTCTGTGAGTATCAAATTTTTCAAGCTCTCTTTCCTCATTATGTGCCTTAAACATTTCAACTCTCTCTTCCTGATGTTAAGTATAAATGTCCTTTTTGTTACTATTTTCTTGAAAACTTCGTTTTTCAGTCCATGGTATTCTCAGCATCCTTCTGTAGAACCACATTTCTGTTCCTTCAACTCTCTTCTCCATCCATGAGAAGATTGTCCAGCATTCATTGTCATATGGCGAGCTGATATTAGATAACAGTTCAGTACTCTTTTCTTTGTTTCTAATGAAATTTTCTTATTTTGTAATAATCTGCTTAGCTTTTTGAAGGCATCTTTTAATGTTCTAATGCACCTTTGAATTTTATAATACAATCATATTAAAAGTAGGTTTGATATACCATCAGTTAGAGTTTATATACATAAACTCATTTTAGAACGACTAATTCCACCGGGAAAAGAAAGCAAAAATTTGAAGATGATGATTGCAAGAAAAACAACCACAGCTGAAGAAAGAGGAATTAAGAATTGGTTTAGATTTTCAATCACAGGCAAGGCAGACAATTCTTCAAAACTATTTAAAAATAGCAGAGTACAGGAGAGTAGAAAGTGGAAAGTGCATTCAAGCAAAAAGACCTCAGTCTAAGAATGAGACAAAGCATTGTTCTTGTTACCATTAAGAGCCTGGAAGTGCGACAATGCTGTCTCAAGTGGCAGAAAGTACTGAATTCGTTAAGCCAGGAAGAATAGTCAAAGTGGAAGAAGGATATTGGAAGGAAAGGGGAAGAAGCAGAAGAATTTGGTAAGCTAATGAGGATAGAATACTAAGGTGAAAGAACTGTGGTAGGAAAGAGGGCATTTGCAGAAACTGCTGCCTGATACTAAAAATATGGTGGTACTATACAGTTCAATTACAGGCTGAAAGTTTCAATCAAAGAAATCTATTTTTGGTAAATTCGAACCCAATTTTTTTTTCTTTGCATGAATTCTGAAAATATAGTCAAAAGGAAATGAGTATTTGGACTCATTTGCAGCAGCTTCTTTTAGAAAAAAAGGATATCTGGAATATCCCATCCTTCTGGTATGGACAAGAGAACTGAAGATGAAATATTATCTGTGTATCTTTCATGTTTTAAATATCATCTCTGTCTATACATACATTATATATATATACATATATATATGAGAGAGATTCTGTTTTATGAAACTGTAATAATACTGTTTACTGTAGTACATTATTTTCTCAACAGATGGCATTACCTTCATGTCTGTAGCATCATCAAGACCTAAAGGATGTTGTGTATTGCAGAAAACTAACTACATTGGTGGCTCTTAGACAAGAAATTGAAAATGTATATGCAGCAATCCCACTGGACACTTTTGGCCAACTTTGCCCAAACACTAGTTCACTGTACTAAAAAAAATCTCTGGAAGCTAAAGGCCACCATTTTGAGCATCTTTTATGATTGTAGAGTTCAAAGATAACTTGTATTAATCTTGTGATGTCTGAATAAATTTAGTATTACAATATCAATACGAGATTTTCCTTTCATTTCTGTATACATTTTTATACACACACACACACACACACACACACACAGGGTGCGATGGATAAATTGTCGTCTAAATTACGCAAAAATGAAAATAACACTGACATCTCATTTTAACAAATATATTTACCAAGATTACACAAAAATATTTTGAAATACTAAAAAGTAAATTTATTCAATAAAACCACCATTGGCTTCAGCATCTCCTGCAACTCTTCTGGGTGGTCTTCATAATCCTTGCCTTCAGTTCATCTTTGGTATTACAAGGAGTTTTGTTGGTCTCTCACTCAACTTCACGCTACAAATATTAATCAAGGGGGTTGCAGTCTAGCCAGATGTAAGTGGTGATGTGGTCGCAGAAATCATCTGGCAGTTATGACAGGATTCTCCTGCTTGTGTGACATGGTGCAGAGTCCTCTTGCCAGTAGACACCCTCTTGACCCAGGGCAGCACTACCTCCTCAAGGCATTTGATGTAGACCTCTGTGTTAAGTTTGAGGCCCTGTGGGAAGATTAATGGAGGCATCACATTGGCATCTCTAGTGATCACTCTAAAAAACTTTGTAATCACCATTGGACTCATCCAACTCTTTCTGAATCCTCTGCACTGTGCTCATATTGACACCCACTCTGAAATGTTCGTACTGGATCTTCTAGGCCAAATGCCATGCAGTACAGCATGCTGTTTCCAAATTTCTGTCAGAGTGCATTGCAACATGGTGCTCTTTTTTCCTCACAGACGGTGGCCCAACTGACCCAACTATACAGTGCAGTCAACAAAATCAAAAACAAACTTAAAAAATATAAAATGGCGACAATTTACCCATTTCACTCTGTATATGTGTGCATGTACATATAGGCAATGTTTAATTTTATGCCTGCAAAAAGAATGGTGAGTTATTTGATACCACTATTACTGTATACACTTTTTACTCCCTTGGCCATGTTTATACACAAGATTATAAAAATATGTGGACCAAGTACAATGTAAAACATTAATTAGGTGGGATATTTAAAGATTAAGAAGTTGAAGTAAGCAGCATATATGATCATAACAGACAGAATGTATTTATGAAAGAAACAAAGAGGATTAAACTTCATCATGTGTTTAAAATAAACAGTGTGTCTACTCAAATATGGGAATCCACTAAAAGTAACATTAACAATCTGTTGGATTAATAAATAATAAATCCATTTCTTTTATATACTTTTTTTTCAAAAAAATATTACATATATATATATATATATATATATATATATATATATATATATATATATATATATATATATGTTTATTTTTTTAGAGGATATTCATATTTGAGTAGATGCTCCATTTATTATGACAGTATGATTATTTCTTTTTGTCTACCAACCTGAATATTCAAGAAATCTTATTAGAGAAAATTATGCACTCTCTGAGAGGTTTCAAACTTGTGTCTCCCTTGGGAACCTCATCATTAGATCCAACATGCTTTGAACCTCTCGGCTATGGTGTGTGTCAATGATGAAGCAAAGCTGAATGGTGCCTTTAAACATTAAAGAATTTTCTCTGACATTTGGAACAGACATATCAGCTTATCCTGACATAAAAAAAATGATACTTGTTAAAGAAAATGTGCCCTCCAGTAGGATTCAAGCCTGCATCCCCCTTTGAAGGAGAAACCAGCATGATTTAAAAGCTTGGCCATGAAGAGCTTCACAATCAAGCTAAGTTTTATTTGCCTTTAAAGCCCACCACTTGTGTAGATATTCTCAGATTTTCTATTTTCTGCTGAAGACAACTTATTAAAAGAAAATAATAAACTTTAATAAAACCTGGAGAAATTTATTTTATCTAACTACAAAATATCAGAAGACAAAATCTTTTTATTAATCACCAGACTTGATCAGATGGTTTTTGGAGGATAAAAAACAAAAAAATTGTGTTACTTACTTTGTCCACAGTATTTTCCAGAATAACCAGGATAGCAAATGCATCTTTTATTTCTGCATTCACCATGATGATAACAATCATGTGGACAGTCGGTATCCAGATTTTCTAAGAAAGAAAAAAGAACAAAGATTAAATAAATTTACATACATTTAATTTCTCATTCACTCTAAACATGTTTAATGTTCCAAAACATGTAAATTGATATCAGACATTTTTATTCTTTACAACAAAATAATTTTAAAAAAAAATGCCAGTTTCAAGTGCAACTGAATCTTTTGGTGCATGCAGCCTTGCTTCCACAGACTATTTCAAACTTTAAGCTTTTCAAAGAATGCCCAGATGTAGACAAATGCACAGACACAACATTGTTCTTGAAAATGACTGAGACGGTCCAAAGTACTTGAACAAAACAGCAACACAAACATGAACTCTGAACACTATATCCACAATTTTGATTAAAATGTGCAAAACATTATTCAAAAATTGTAAAAATACAATAAAAAATTAAACATATACATTTTTATATATATATATATATATATATATATATATACACACACTCAAGAGGTGCTGAACATCAGTCAGCTAAGTGACAAATTTTATATTAATCCCACACACACACACATTATATATATATATATATATATATATATATATATTATATATGAAAAATGCATCCCTTCCCACGACCCAAACGTAGCAATAACTGATACATTAAATTATAGACATATTGAAAACCCAGCCACCCCTGTCTAGAAAAATAGATTTATCTGTAACCTTGGAAACATGAATTTTGTTTTAGCTGTGTATTTAAAACCCAGTAATTTTAAAAAGTTACTCCAAAAATTAAACTTGAGGATGAAATGGAACTAATGTCTTTAATTTAATCACAAAATTAAATTTGTGGCTTTTAGCTACCATTTTGAAACATGGTTAGAACTGTGTAGTGAAAAAAAAAAAATATTTTTAAATCAATTAATTTATAATATATATATATATATATATATATATATATATATATATATATATATATAGTACTTATTTATGTTTATTTGATATCCTGAAATGGTGAGCCAAGTTCAAATTCCTATTAATTCTGTTTTTGTTTACTTCACACTAATATGCTTAGAAAAGGCATGAGCCCATCTTCCTCTAGTTATGGCTTAAGTACCAAGGCAGACTGGGCTCTCTTGCCCTGGGTGGGAGCTTGTCTAGGAGAAGTAAAACTATTCATTCAAATTCAAGGTTTGTGTTCTTCGAAGATATAATTTTTTTTTTAATCTGACATGATTTGTGAAAGGTGCAATGTTTGAACAAAAGATAAAATCAGCTTAAAAGAAACAAAAATTTTTTGATAATGGCTTAGAAAAGCTGAAATGCTCAGACATTGAACTATTTATATTTCATTAGAAGCCAGAAAACTTTTCCAAAATATAGAAAAAGTAAATAAAAATCCTTAACAAAAAACATTAGTTGGTCTAATCAAAATTGGATAAGCAAAAAATTGCTGCCTTGTACACAATATTATATATATATATATATATATATATATATATATATGTGATGTAAATTACTTTCAGATAGAGAGTATTTTTAAAGCTATAAAATGAATATAAGAACAAAAAGAAAAACTATTCTTAGCCAATGCATTTTTGTAATCTGAAGGACTTTATCAAGGCAAATGTAGGATTTATGTTTATATACAAGGACAAGGATGTTACTGGCTTATCAAGGCTTTTAAATTTGAGAATGTTCATGAATAGTCATCAGCTGGTTGAAAGGTCAGTCAAAACATGGAGGACACAAGGTGACATAATTTGAAGTTTGGTAAAGCAAAAGTAAGAGTAATAATCAGGAAATTTTTTTCAACAAATTAAATCCTACATTTGACTTGATAAAGTCCCCTGGAAGATGAAACATGTTGGCTAAGAATAGTTTTCCTCTTGTCTTTATATATATATATATAATTATTATTATGCTTCAAATGACAAGAGATCTTCTCTCAATAGTACTTCGTATGAAAGGGCCTAAAACATGGTTTCAGAAACTAAGCAAAAACTCCACTAAGAAATAAACTAAAACAAATCCTCTCACATAACACAGTAAAGGAAACAAAATAAAAATATACTAGCCATCTTTGACATTATGAAAATTGATCCTCTTGGCTAAAGTACAAGATGAAAGCACTTGTGAAAATAAGAACTATAGACAATTTCTCCACACACTCATTCCTCAAAAAAGAAAAACTGCAAGGGCACAAGAAAAATTAAATACAAACTTAGAAAATATTCCATAATATTTAGAAAAATATGCATAAAATAAGGATTGCTGCCAAGTATACACAAAAAAAATGTGTTCACAGGAGATCAATCAGTCAAGTACCATATGTGATACACATTTGGGTGATCATGTCTCTTTCAATTCATAACTAAGCATAAGATTTTTCTGCAGTAGTCTGCAGTTTCTTTCTGCAGTGGACTAGTTACCAACCAAGGCTATAGGAGACCTAGTTTGTCCTATTATTCAAATGGGAGGAGAAGAAATGTATTCATAAGTGTATCTGTGTGTAAACAAATATAATGAACTTGACTGGAATTTGAACTCACCTCTCTGATTTCTCATACTGAGCCATTATCCATTTCACCACATCACATATATATTCTAATTTAGATGCAGTTTTCAAAAATTAATTAACATCATTGCTGACTTATATTTAATAACATTGTAGAAAACTGTCAGAAATTCATAAAGCTGTAAGTCCAAATAGTCACTAGTCGTTTTCCCATTTGTTTAATGCCATTAACTTTATATGCATTCAAAGATAATCTATAATCAGAACATCTGGGTTATTCCATCAACCCCATAGGTAGCACATGTGGGCTATTTCATTGCTGACTTAGTCATATATAATAAGTTTTTATTTGTAGCATGGAGACAAAGGCATCAGCTAGCACACTCCTTCAGTCTTTTCTAAGGTAATTGTATTTCTTCTACACAACCATGTCCATCTTATGAAATATACCATATCCATGGCGTCAAACTAATCAAAATAAGTACCTTTCTTGAGCAAGAGTTGGCATTTCTATGTCTTTAAAATAATTATGCTTTGCAATATGAGGCAGGCAATGCTTGCTAGTTATTTATTTGCCATTCAGATTTCAATTTATCTACCACGAAGGCATATTTATCAAGAAGAGGCAATTATGTTACTTTCAAGGAACAAAAATTTTAAATATGCAAGCAAACAAATGAAAATTCTAAGAACACTGACCTTCTGAATTCTTTCATTTATTCAGGCAATCAATATATTGATTCCTTGGTTTGTTTGTTTATCAATCAATTCAGAAAGCAATTTACAATTTGCAGATATTTTTAGTCTTTGACCACATTAAAAAAAAAAAACCTGTTTGTTCTGAGCAAACTTAAACTAATTATAATGTCAGAGTGTCTTTTTTATATTGTTTAACAGCACTCTTCTGGCAAATCCACTGACTTCATACATATTATGCCAATCTGATACTAAAGTGCTTAACAAAAATTAGAAAATGTTTAACATAACTCTCCGATGCCAAGAATTATACTTGCAGTATTTGTTAAATTAAAAGACATTCCTATTTCATGCATCTGAATTACCACACTTGATGGCAATATTAGACAAACCACCTCACCCCATAATGAATCAGGCTAAATAAGTTCAACTAATATTTGATGAATATATGTTAACCTTGTAGATTACCATATATATATATTACCGAATATACATAATATCCCACATTGATAGCACAACTTCATATGATAGCTTCATGTGGATATGCAATCTTCAGGTGCAGAATAATCACTGACTGTTTATATATATATATATATATATATATATATATATATATATACTTGCATGTACATATATATATATATGTCTAAATTCACCTTCATCCCTGCCATGCAGCAATGGCTTAGGGGTAAAATCCCCAAGTGATACCAAATCAGGTTTTGATCCTGGTTTGAGGTAATCGGATGTCTAGTCACACTGATGAGCTGTGAAACAGCAAAACAGTCTGTCTGTGGATGACTATATATATATATATATATATATATATATATATATATATATATATATGGGAAAATGATGTTTTTAAATTTCACTGCACCCTCTCCTTCATGTGCATATGTAATCACATCTTATTTTGCAATTTGATAAGAAAGATTGTAATTAGATTTTAAAATAGCATATCTGTTCAACTTGTGAAGAAGACTATCATACCGAACACTTTCAAGATATCCAAAGTAACATCCAAGCTTCACAATTCTTTCTCTAAAGCTTGACAGACTCTTTCAGCAAAAACAGTCAACGCATTAACATTTGACCGATAGAAGAAGACCCTGTGAAGTGAGATGATCATCCCATTCACCATTGACTAGAGGTAGATCAGGTGGTTCTGAGCTCTTAAAGACTAGAACTATAGAAGAGGACTTCCATCAAGCAGGTTGAGAAAGGTTTAAGCTTTTAATTTGTTAGGATTTTTTTTTCCCAATTTTCTGTGGTTATTGAGGAAGATATGGTCTATGGAAATTTAGTTATGTGGACATTGAGAAGAAAACACCACGAGGACATTTTTTTTTTATTCCCTATGTTAGAAAGTGAACAAATTTTTTTACTTACTGCTACTAATGGCTACCTAGCTCTGAAAATGAAATTTACCCAGAATTATATTTTTTGATTTGTTTGGTTGATTTTGTTTAACTGCATATCAACCTATGTGAGTTATTTAATGCTAAAATCTAAATCTATTTTAAGCACAATTTTATGGTTTCAACTAAATATATTTTCAGTGCAGTTGTATACCTTGAACTACAACATGTATTGTTCATTCTATTATGAAATTTATTGTTAGTCATTCTTACTATAAATACTTACTGTTGGTATTTTTTAATTTTTTTTTATTTAAAAATGTATTGCTGGTCATTACTATAAAAATATTATTTTATACTTTTGTAGTGTTTTGATTTTGGTTTGGGGATTTACTTTTTGCCCATAGCTGGGACCCTAAAAGGTGCTACCACCCTGAATTTGGTTAACTTTTTTTTTTTTAAACCAATAAGATATTAAAGTTGAAATGCCTTTAAAATAAAATCTATTTCTGGGCTTCTTTTAATCTTGTAAAAACAAAAAATGCAATCACTTTTATCATTTGGGAAACATTTTTTTTTAAAGATGATATTTGGGAAATCATATTTTTATCTGCTGGTAAATGTATTAAATGCCATATAAAGTTTTTTTTAGATTGATTTGTATTTTGTATAAGTTTTTTGATTCATTTGGTGTTAACAATTAAAAATAAAAATATGATGGTGTCATTTTTCTTTTTAATATTTTTTCTTTCAAATAAACGCTTTTTTACAACTTCACTTCAAAATATCACACCTCACAGCACTTAACACCAGAACCCCACTAAAAAAAACCCAGTAAACTTAAGTTTTAAGGCAAAAATAAAATTAGTTAAAAGTTGACTGAAAAATACAAAGATATTTGTCTTACTTTCTAAGTGATTTTTCTATTTTTCTTATGGTTCATGTGAGTTTTCTTTCTGTCACCTAAACTTTTTGTCATGTCAAGGAGAACAGCTCGAAACCATAATATAGAAATACTCTATCTTCTTATATTCTTCTTTTCTCAATCTTTCTTTTTGTTTTAGTTAAACAGGATTGTTCTCTCATCTTTTGTTGACTCCTTTCATTACTCTCTCTTCTTCTTTGGTCATTCTTTTCTTTGTTTTCTTTCTATTTCTTTTTCAGGCTCATTTTTCCTCATTTTGTTTACATTCCTCCTTATTTTGTCTTTTCTTCTTTCATTTTTCTCTTCATTTCTTTTTAATGTTTTTTCTTCATTGTCAATTATCTTATTTCCCTTTCTACAATTTCCTTATTTCTTCAATCACTTTCATTTTATCTTCTTTAATTTCCCTTTTTTTTCCTTCACCATTCTCCTTTATTTTGATTTTTACTTCCCTTTTTCAATTTCCTTATTTCTTCTTCATTCTCTTTCATTTCCCTTTTTTCAATTTCCTTATTTCTTCTTCATTCTCTTTCATTTCCCTTTTTTCAATTTCCTTATTTCTTCTTCATTCTCTTTCATTTCCCTTTTTTCAATTCCCTTTCTTTTTCTCTATTCTTTCATTTTGTCTATTATTTCTTTAACTTTTCAATGTTTGCAACACTGTTTAACTAACATTTTCCTTTCTTTCCAAATTTTCTCCATTTTCTTGACCTTGTACCAAAACTAATCCAAACACAGTAAATACCTCTTCTCTGCCTTGTTTGTGTTTTCATTATTTTTTTTTTTTTTAAACAATTTTCATTCATTTTCTTTTACTACAACAAATTTAATTTTTTCTTTTTTTACAGATTCATTTCACTCAATTTTCCGTCAGCCTTCAACATCCTTTTTACCTTTGTTTTCTTTTTGTTGTTGTCACTCTTAATTTTTTTCTGAAAGTTCCAGTTACATGCTATTTTAAAAGATCATTCTTTAAGAATTTCCTCCAACCTCAAGTCGATTTCAGCAATCTCCATTCTTTAAGTAAATTTATCCGACCTCCAGTGTATTTTTAAGCATTTTCATCCAATTTTTCTGAAGTCTTCCCACTTCATTTGATCAACTTCAGCACTTGAAGAAAGCAACCAGAAAGATCTTTCTTTTTAAATTAATTCTAATATTCCAAAAATAAACTCAAGAAAAAAAAAAAAAAGGTTATTAAATAGTTCCCCTTAAATCAGTTTTTAATAATCAATATCCATCTTTGCTTCAAATGAACAGAGAAAGTAATTATACAGTAAACTGATTGTGTTTTTTTTAAATCCTGATATTTTATGTGACTTATCAAATGTGCTGTCTATCATTCTGATGTAAACCATTTTTATTATTCAATGAAACATTTAGACTCATTGGTAGGCCTCTAGTGATGTGGTTTCCGTTATAATTACATACATATACATTATATATATATATATATATATATATATATATATTAGATGATCCTGTCTTTTTTTTACATATAAGGATCAAGCAACTCAGTTCTTTTAGAACTAATAGCCATCTCACTGCACATAGCATTTGAATTTGATTACCGAGGCAACAGCTTGTGCAGAACCAACCACACTTTTTGGAAATTCCAAGAGCTTGTGCAAAGTATGCCACAAGGTCCCCAAATGAACCTCTGCAAGTTTTAAATTCAGAGTTGTCCAGACTGGTTGCCACCCAAGTCTATAGGACCCAGTTCTGCTATTTACCCATAGCAAGGGGGCAATAAGAAATGGATTCATACATTTCCCAAGGGTATTAGCTTGTACGTGAATGCATTGAACCCGAATAGAGTTCAAACTTGGCTCTCCGAATCCTCAAACCGAGACACAATCCATTACTCCACCATGACTATATATATAAGTTTAAAGGTGATAATGCCACAAAGATGCAAAGGGCATCTACGCCTATTAAAATTTATTGTTGTTGTTGTTATTATTATTATTATTTTTATTATTGCTGTCAAATTATCTTAGGGATATTATCCTGGCAACAGAAAGTCTGTTCACTTCTGTATTACCAGGCAACTGAAAGTGTTTGTTTTCCCTAGGGAAAAGCAACTAGCTTAACTTGAGCTACTTGGGCAAAACCCATCTGAACTAACAGGGGAGAGACTGGTTAATCTGACAAAGCATTAGTTTTTATAACTAGGTGGATGTAAGTTCAATCCCTATGCTGGGTAACAAATGTTGTCCATAGAATAGAACTTGACAATTATTATTTTCATTTTTTGTAAAAATGTTCCCTAAGACTGCAATTTACATCTGAGAAAATCCCTACAAAATTTAACAAATTCAAAAGAGATGAGAGAAAAAAAAAACAGAATTCTTACCTTTCACATTTGTAACAAATGATACGGTTTTCGGCTGGTTGTTGTCATTGTAAACAGCAAAGTACCAATCACCTGCTGTTAAGTATCTTATAATGGCAGTGTTCTTCCCAACATTGTCACTCTGTAACAAATAAAATAAACTTATATCACATAGGGTTCATTTATATGTGTAGAGACATGTAACTTTTTTACTCAGTTTGAATAACACATGCAGACATACAAGAAGTCAAAGAGAATATGGCTACATGCAAAAAAATGAAAAAAAATACTTAATAAGAACTAGGGGAATTCTGTGGGAAAAGTCCACAGTGAAGCTATGCTTCTTGAATAACTATCCTGCTGTGCAGATGGAGGAGATGCTTATTTGTTAATCAACAACTTTGGTGATATCTTGGCAAAACAATTGGAAAATATCTGGTTTGGAAAATGAGATAGGCGATATCTAGTTGGGAAAATGAGATGGGCAATATCTAGTCGGGAAAATGAGATGGGCAATATCTGGTTTGGAAAATGAGATGGCCGATATCTGGCTGAGAAAATGAGATGGATGATATCTGGTTTGGAAAATGAGATGGGCAATATCCGGTTTGGAAAATGAACTGGACAAAATCTGTTTTGGAAAATGAGCTGAGCAGTATCTGGTTAGGAGAACAAATTGGCTGATATCTGGATTGAAATTCAGAGAACATATTGAAGATAAGAGGTACAGAGAAAAAAGTGTATAGCCTACCTAGTGAGCTTGTGTAAATGGTTGGCAGAAAGTAGTTTAGGAAAGATAGCAAAAAGACAAAATTTACTAAGAGCTACAAAGGACACAAAATTGTGGAGAGTTCGGTTTGCTCATTTCCTGAAGGGACACGGTACATAAAAGAAGTGGTATACAAGGGAATGGAGAGAGATCACAATGTAAAGTTAATTTATGTCTTTCCTAAAACCATTAGGAATATTCAAATAATAATAAGAGGATATTTTACAATTCCATTCAGTCTCAGTAGAATAAATCCCTAACAGCACTGCCTCAAAGAAATTGTAAAAAGTATGTATATTTTGTTTACTGGAAATATTTCTTTAATCCTCAAACAGTGCAAAGTTTGGCTAGATCTTTTTATATCCTAAATAAATAAAAGATTTATATTTGTCAATTGACCTTTAGTATATCCCAACAAGAAATGCCTCATTTACATGAATCTAATTAATGAATCTAATTGTGTAGATGAATTTAAATGTATGACTTACCCAGGGAAGAGATCGCTTGACAAGTCTTGATCCAGAGAATATTTCAAAAAACTCAAATTGAACATGAGTTGGTGGTAAGTTTTTTCGACCATACACACCTAACACAGCATTGTCAGGAATGGTAAAGTTAAGCTTTACAAAGCCAGGGTCAGTCTGTTTGTATTTCGACTGCCAGAATGATTTGGGTGGAATCTTCATTTGTTGAAGCTGACCTAGATGAACAACTGAGGGGCTTGGTAAGGCAGTTGTAGAGGTTGAACCTTTACAAAAACAACAGAGAGAAATAATTAATTATGGTCAGACAGACAAGAATAGAAAATAAACAATTTATTTCATAAAGTGATTACAACAGACTAGTCTGGAATTTGAACACGGCTTGCCTATTCCACTTTCAACACTGGTATATGCAACACTATCCACACATCCTCACCTAAGAAAGGACATTTGGACATATTGGAACATTACCAAATAAGAAAACTGTTACAATGAAATGTTGCTATTATATCAGCTAAAATAAAAGGCAACAATTTTAATAAACCAATAATAAAGATAATTCCTTATTTTAATGACAGGAAAGATCAATGAAAATGCTTTTGAAAATCTTTCTAAAATGATCTGAAAATATTAAACTTTGTTGAAACATTTAAGAAAAATATATATTTAAGGTGTAGTTTAAAATAAACAGCTTGAAATTTAATGGGGAAAATATGATAATCTAAATATCAGACTATTGGTGGGTAATTGAATGACAAAATAGAAAACATGCTCTGTAAATTCAAAATGACTTTATCAGATTAAAATAAAGTCTAGCATGCCTACATCTCCAGTGTTTCTCTCAATGTATAATTATCACTGATAATTAAATTTCACTCCCTCTCTCTCTCTATATATATATATATATATATATATATATATATATATATATATACACACACATTCATACACAGAGTGTCCATAATGTATCTTTACAATTTAAAAAAATATATTACAATAGTAATTGATGAGATATCTTAATCAGATTTTTTCTATGTACTCAATATTTATCAAAACTTTTAATCACATTGGATTTGTGTTTTTCAGGGATCCTGTTGATGAAGGAGGTACTGTTAAAGGAACCCTTTACATTTTCAGACCTGTGGATTGAGAGGGATGAGCCCAATTCCCTGGCCACCTCATTCACTATATATCACTCTCCTGGACTTCTTTCTATGGGGTTATGTTAAAGATATTGTGTATTCGACAAAGATACAGGACATCACTGATCTAAAGCAAAAAAAAAAAAATCACTGATGCCGTTGCCACCATTGATGAGGCTATGCTACAGCAAACATAGCAAGAAATCAAGTACCGTCTTGATGTACTTTGTGCAACTAATGGTTGCCCATATAGAGTTATATTAAATTAGTTAAAATAAACTTCAATATCTGCTCCACATTCTGTAACAATTTCTACATATTTGCATTTGTAATAAATTTTTTAAATTGTATGGACACCATATATATATATATATATATATATATTTGGTTGGATAGATGTGAGTTTATGTTAGCTCTATCTCTGATATTGAGCGCTTTCTAATAAGTACCGCGCATATAATATATAAATAATTATACATACTTATATTTATTTATATTTATATACACTTTTCACACACACACACACACATATATATATATATATATATATATATATAATTATTTTTTATAAAAAAAAATGATAACATAAGTATGTTATAAAATCACTACAAAAATAGCCATTTTGTTTCAACACAATCTGTGTCTTATCAAGTGATGATGTTGAAAATAAAATAAATGGTTTGAAAAGTTTCAGATTAATTAACGATCCTACACTAGGGGGAAACATTGTTACAAAAGCTAGAATAACCAATCAAAAACGAAGTATAGAAAGATTCAAAAGCTTGACAACGAAATCATGTTATAATATCTATTCAGATCTTTTATTTTCTTTTCAACATCACTTGATAAGACACAGATTGTGTTGAAACAAAATGGCTATTTTTGTAGTGATTTTATAACATACTTATGTTATAATTATTTTTTATAAAAAATAATTATATCTGCTCTACTTTGTATTGAGCACTCTTAAGAATAGTAATTGTTGGTTATTGGAATTCATTCCGTATATACCAATTATATACTTGTATATATATATATATATATATATATATATATATATAGTGTGTGTGTACTGGTGTTAATAAAATAATGGTCAATATAATATGACAGAGCTATTAAGTATACATTAATAAATATACATTATTCCTCACCAGTAGCATGACTCAGAGTTTCATGCCTAATGCATCTACAGGTGGTGAGTAGAGACTCAGGTATATATATATATAATATTAGTGGTAAATATACACATACATTTGTATAAAAAATAAATCCAAGAGGATAGAATCCAGGTAGAACTCAATGTCTGGGACAGAGTAAGGATATAATAAAAAACTTAAACACTAATATTCCATTAGTGTTTAAGCCTTTTATTTATATATATATATATATATATATATATATATATATATATATCTGCCATTTAGGTAGGTAGTGCCTATCCTGAATAAAATAAATCAGCTGCTACATTTTCCTTCTGTGGTACAATATGCACCTAATCCAACAAAATTATGAAGGTTACTCTGATTATTATATATAAAATGCAAACTGTTTTATTTTTTTGCAGATTTACTACATAAAAAGTCAGAAGCTGCATACCCTGAGTAATTACTGACAGCATGTGCCTGATATATATGTACCTTTCAATAAGAACATTATTTTAATTTGAAGTCCTTTTGAGAGACAAAACAGAATTTTTCCATTTTCTCATTCATTTACCCAACACTAAACTTTATAAAAATAAATTGATGTTTACAACAAAGTCTTTTTAATAAAAGTGTGTGAATGCCCAATTCTTTATGAATTTACTTTATTTTATTCTTTAAATTATTTATGGAAATAAATGACAACATAAGAACTAATGATACAGTCAAGAACAAAAGGAGGAGAATTTGGTCCATCTGCTGCCAAGATAAATGGTTTTTACTGTCGCAAGTAAAAAAAGACAGATGACAAATCTTGTGCAATAACAGTTTCCTTTTGCATTGTTATTGTTTTCAAATGAATCATTTCCTCCTCTTGTCCATAATTCCACTCATTCTCCTCCATGTTTCTGTTGCCAAGTGCATGCTGTCCCTCGTCAACTAATTGTCGAGAATGTGAGACACTCAAGAGATTTCCAGCTGGTAAACTGAACATGCAGTATACAAAATGTCAAAAGAACAATGGAGACCATTTGTCCAATGCCTCTGTTAAGTTAGCAAGAAACAAATGGTCTGCAGACAAATGGAAAGAGATGGAATGGATATTGCCTGGATTTCTCTAGAGAGATATCCAAGTCTTGACATCCGCTAGAAAAATATTTTTGTTACATTTTCTTCTTGCTTGGGTGAATACTACCACAGATATTTTCCTCCATAAAACTTTAATGAAAGCAAAAGTTTCAAAAAGGGTGGAGCAAACACACACATCAAGAAACAATAAAAAAGGGGAAAAAAAACAAATAAATAAGTTGATAGCTTAGCAACATAATGGGGTTTGTATTAACATTCTTTGGTTCTTAAATATAAAGTGAGATTAAATATGGATATAAGTCAATACTTAATACGTTTCCCTGACCACTACAATCTGAAACAATTGTTCAAGTCTAGGGTTAACTGTTACCTTTCTCTTCTATCTGTACAAACTGCCTCCTAACATAACCTTCTTCCACGAGTGGCCCCCAGGCCTTGTGTGAACATTATTGTAAAAAAAAAAAAAAAAAAAAATTCAGAACTTCTTTTGGATATTTGAACCCTGAATTAAATTATCTTGATCTATAAAGAAAGTTGTTAATATGTTCTTATTCCCAATGATGCCATATATATTATGGTTAATTTTTATTAAAAAAAACTTTTATAAATCAAGGTGAAAAATAAATATTGTTATCTATAGAAACTAAAATCTATGGAATCGATATACATGTGAAGCAGAGATAAGATGCACATATCACAAGATGCACATCTTTTGATGGTAAACATGTTAACTAAATATATTTTTAAAAATACAACAGATATCGAAATAAAGATATATTCTACTTACCTCGACTGCCACTTCTCAGCGTACTGTATCCCCCCCCATTGTAAGATGAATTAAAGGCACCATCATTGTGATGAGGACTAGAATCAGTAGCTACTCTTTCTCTTTCTTCAAATACCAACATGGCTGAAAAAAAAAAAAAAAGAAAGATGGTGATTACTGGAATAGTAACAACTTGAAAAGACGATGAAAATGACAAGCAATTAAATGCAATTTTGTAATGTAAAACAATGAATTTTTTTTATTGGTATCAAGGCAAGGTAGTAAAGCTACTAAGACAAAATGGGTTACAGAGTGTGGAAGAATTAGAAACAGAAACATGACTTAAGAACAAAAAGACTAATCAGAAGGACAGTAAATAGCGATTGATATTGCATTTAAATTTTGGCAGGTTAAAGTTGTCTGGAAAGCATGAAGCCAGAAGGGAGTTCCACAAGTGAGAAGTGAGAGAAAAGAAACTGTCAGCATAAAATTTATGGCTCCATCTAACTAGCTTAACTGTAAATTGATGAGATCTCATCACCAGTCTAGTACATAATTTAATTTTGAAAAGTCTAGGGACTAGAATGAAGAGCTCATTCGAACATGAAAGTATTTATAGAAAAGTCAGAGAGGCAACCTTGCAGCAGTGGGAAAGTGACTGAACCTGAGCCACCAGATTAGGACCAATAATATTGCTGATTCTTCTTTGGATTTCATCAAGGACCTCAAGGCAAATAGCAGGGTCACCAAACCATATATGGCAGCAATATTCTTATAATAGATGAATGGTAGACTTATAACATGTAAGATAGATTCTGGATAGAAAAATTTTCTTGCATGACACAGTGAACCAACTTTCTTAGCAGTTGAGCTAGCAGTGAAATCAATATAGTCTTTCAACTTCATGGCAGCTGAGAATGTTAACCTGAGAAGTATTAAATACTCAAAACTATTTAATTGAGAAATACAAGATTGTTGACAAAATTCAAAGATGGGTCTGTATTATAATAGATCCTGATCTGGCATCTCAACAGTTAATTTCTAACTGCTGTAACATGACTTCCTCCCATTTTTTTAAGAAATATTTTCATGGCAATCGTTTTGATGATTTTTCTTCTTTGGTGCTTTGCCTGCATGAATTTAAGCATGCTACTAGATTACCAACTAGGTCTCACCATTTGAAATAACAATGCAATCATATCTTCTATTTGAATAGTTTCTTTTCTTGCATTTCTTGCCAGTGAAATTATCTTCTAATTCCTTGCTTCCCTGCCATCTACAAGCTTCCAAAAATTTCAATGTCAGCCAGTTGCCATCTTCTGTCTTCCTGAATCCTATTCCTTTATTGTCCTTTTCCTCACCAAAGTCTTCCAAGTCTCTTTCACTCTCTGAAATTTCTTGCTTCCTAATGGCATTACCACCTTGCTTGGGGTGAAATGATAATAAAAACAATACAAAAATGGGGAGGAATGGGGATCCCTTGGGAATTTTATAAATGACTAGAATTTTAATCTAATATATATTTTTCTGATTTGTTTTATCTGAATATAAACTGACTAAAAACAATCCTAGCAAAAACAAAAATGAAATATCTATACAAGTTTGAAATCTATACAAATCATTCTTTACAAGTCAATAGACTAGATTCTCAACAAAAAAAAAAAAGATCTGTCAAATAGTAACTGTCCCTGTCCCAAAAGACCACAGAATTAGACTGAAAGAGATGGTAAAGCTGAAAAAAATCTTAGTCTTGTTCAGAAAATAAAAAAAGAAATTGTAGAATATTAATGAGAAAACATGTCTGGAATCATCTTGAAAAGACTTACAAAAAATGTTAGATACATTTGAAATCTGCAGAATAATCAATATTAAGCTGACCATATTACTAAAATTAGCTTGAATAGTGAGAACTGTACAAGAGCAATGTGAAGACTTGCTTCCACTTGATCTCCAATGAAAAACACCAGATATAACATCTCTATATAAAATTCTGTGACTTCCATTAGTCCATCCATCCATCCATCCATCCATCACACCCTCTAAAATAGGCATACATTGACCAATTGAAGCCAAATTTTGGAGAGAAGTGCAAGAAGGTAAGTGGGTAGAAAGTACAGTTGCTTTCACTAGGGTGCATAGAAACCGCAAAGTAGGATTTTTTTGCCCAAGTATTTTTCCAAACAAATCAGCTTATTCAAATTTCATCGATTGTTTTGCAAAATTGAACAAAATGTAGAGTTTGAAAATCTTGACAAAAAAGGTTAGTGATAACTTCAGCAATACTAAATACTGTGAGGATTTTGAAATGCATCTGCATGTGTGAAAAAATTCAGTAAACTTATATGCCTATGTATAGATAACATTATTCTATTGACAATACCCATTATTCAAAGAAGAAATATTGATAATAATATCCATATATAAATATATAGTACTAATATCCATAATAAACATCCTTGAGAAGACATTGAAAATATTGCAAATGACTCTAGTGATATTTTTCTCATCTCAGTCATAAGAGCAAAGATAAAAAAATAAATAAATAAATAAATCCTCATGTTATTTGACATAAAACATTTTTATATCCAGAAAATGATACAGGATACTTCTATCAACTGTGGTTAATGTTTTATATAAACAAGCATTAAACACATCAAAACTGACAAAATTATTTACATATGGATAAATTATATTTTTGTAGAAATCTGCTTATTGCAAAACAAAAAATATGACAAATTTTATTTTTTGTTATCTACAAGTGTTTTATATTTTCTGCTTTTTTTAATATAAAAAAATATTGCAATGAGTCATTATAATTATTATTATCATTATTAATAGTATTCGTAATAATGATATTATCAGTAGTGGTTTCCTACTGCTAACAAACATGCTAACATAGTAGAACACATTTTGTGTCTGCATGTTTACAATATATATTTGCTCTTTTTTCTGTCTCTGTAACCGAAAACCAACAAAGAAAATGACAAGACATGACAACTTTTATATATGATTTAATGCATGAATGAAAAGAAAGAAATTGGCTATTTTATGAACTTACCAGCAAATATTTTCAGTTAGATTGTGATTAGTGTGAGTGAAAAACAAAAATACCTTTCCCCAACAAATCCTAACCTTTATCTTATTCTGATAACCACCCCCACTCCGCTAACAAAAGGAAACTCCAGTAATGGTTGGATGAGAGATAAAGAAAAAAAAAGAAACATTCAAATGACAGATGAAACCTGTGCAAATTCAACAGTGCAGTCGATTCATATTCTGATTCTATTTTCGAAAATGATGTTGCCATTGGGAAGAGGGCAGTAATTAAAAAATGAAGAGAAGGAAGAAGATAATGTTCAGAGAGAGAGAGAGAGACAAAGAAAGATATTAAAAAATGAAGAAGAGAAGAAACATAAAAAGGAGAAAGAAACGTGTATCAAGAATTCTTGGAAATGACACATTGACGAAAAAATCATAGCTCTCCACAACTTCCTATCTTTTAAGAAAATGCAAGAAGGGAAGTTCTTGGAGCTATGCAGGAAAGATAACAGCTAACTCTAGAAGAGGTCAAGATTTAATTAGTGAACCAAAGTTCAGGAGGAGATGTTAGAAGTATAGAGTTGAGGTAGACTTTGAAGAAACCAGAAACATCTACTCTTGTTCAAAAGACTGGCGCTTTATCAATTCCTTGTTTTACTCCCCATTACTCACAGCTTTCCACAGCTTTACTTGCCATGCGTTTTCTGGTCGTCTCAGTTTTCAGTTCTCCAAGTTCTTTTTATTCACCTCTGCTGTGACCAGGTATTGAACTCCATACTTTTTGGTCAAGTCAATTTTTGGATTACTTCAAACAATGCTTTTATCCACTGGACCATGTGTCCTAAAAGGAATTCACTGAAAACTGATATATTGAGAAAAGGCACATGGCACAATCTACCACCGTGGACTAAATAAAGGGTTCAGTTTGAAATTCCAATGTTTATCATCACCTGAAGAAGGCGAGAGTGTACAACAGGTGAAATGTTGTGAATATCACAATAAAGATGAGGACAACACTCTGCACAGTGTAAATAGTGTAGATCAATGTTTTTGTCTGCATATAACTATAATCAACATTTGCATTTTTATATTCACCTTCCTACACATTATATCCGATTTCCAATTCTGTGCCATTATTTTCACACCAACTGCACATCCAAGCTTTCAGCAACTTGTATTCCCAAGTGGTCACCCATCTTGATACTGACCAGGCTTGGTGTTGCTTAACTTTGGTGATAATAAGGGAACCAGTGTTTCTACCTGATATGGGCATAAGCCTTGACAAATAAAATCCATATAAATTAGCTCACAGACAAATGGATTGTAGTTTTGCAACTAAATTGTACTTATAAATAAAAAGACTTTTTTGATGGCATGGGTAAAAACGGTAATTTTTGTGGTTCTACTGCTAATAAAATTAGAGAAATGAAAGCTTTGTAGAATTTGTGCAACAGTGCATGAAACCTGTTATTGGCTGGTGTTATTACATACCAGCATCTTCATCAATTGTAAGGCCTTGCTTTCTGGCTACATTGCCAACAATTCTTGCTTCTCTGTGGAATTAATTTCCTGAACAGGCATGGATGGTGTGGCACCGAAAATTGAAGATGCTAAAAAATGGCTCCCAAAGGAATCGGCAATAATTCTATTATTGGTTTTGCTGATAATTCCTAAAGAACTGCAATTAATGGCTGATGAAAATGCGGTGGTGGGGTAGAAAAGTAAGATGTGAGGAAGAAGAACTACCAAAGAAAGAAACAAGAAAATGGTAATTTAAGTATTCTGATGAAGTAGATGTAAACAGCAACGGCTTGCTTATAGAATTGATGATGATAACGTGTTAGGAGATGAATAAGATAGAGGGAAAAAAAATGAAATTACAAGGAACTAATGATGAGTAGACAAAGAAAACGAACAAAATAAGAACTTAAAATGATTAGAATTCTACATAAAGCCTGATTTTGTTAGCAATGTTCCATTGAATCTGTGACAGTCACCTTATTCCCATTTTTCAATGCATTTCTCTAGCAAACTCATTAGCAATAAATTTACATTGTGCATATAATAGCCTTATTCAGGTAGTAATGTTTGTATGAATTCTTGACCTTTGACAATCCCTTTTGGGCTTTTAATGCATCTCTAGAAAATCATTAGTAGGTATATTTTAGATATCTTTATATTTTTAATCAATTTATCCCAAGCAAGACAATAATGCCACTAAGATGCAAAGGGCTACTGAAAGTAAAAGAGAATGAGAAGACTTTAGAAGGATTCAGAAACAAAAGATAAGCCTCTATTCCTGTTCAAAAGACCAAGGAGGGGTATGAATAATAGATGTATTTTTATAATTTTTAATCATAAGCAGTTCATTTACAATTTTACAAATGCCTTGGAGTTCTGCTCCAGATAACCTAAAAATAAACTGAAATAACTTAGCATTCAATGAAGAATTGTGTTTTTTTATTGATGCATTTTCTACAGCTTATCAACCCTTTGCAGGATATTTAAAGCCAGCCAGAAAATATTTTTAGAGTGTAAGAATTTACTTTTTGAGATAATAATGATTTAGGAATACAAGTCTTATTAATTAACCTATATCTGGAGGGAGATGAGGTGGATTCATACCTTTCCTAAGGGTACTTGTGTGTAAGTGAATACAATAAATCCAACTTAAAACCAAGCTCCCCAATTAACAATTCTGAGTCATTATCCATTACACCACCTGCACATCCAAGCTTACATCTCCTGATATTCCTAAGTGGTCACTCATCTAGGTACTGACCAGGCTCAATGTTGCTTAACTTTGGTGATCATACGGGAACCAATGTTTCAATGTGATATGGCCATAAGCCCAGTTTCTTTCTGATTTTCACTGCAGATCTACAGAAAATCATAAGTGGGGTGTTTACAGCTACTTCTTGGAGTTCTGTTCCAAGGACCCTAAAATTGACTGAAATAACTTGAGATCTAAAGAAGTAGTAAGATATATCAGACGATGGCACTGTTGAAGAATACTGCAAATTTAGCTGTCTCTTGATCTGCTGCAACAGTAGTTATCATTCTTTGGTATAACAAATCTAATGATGTCAATAAATAAGGTAATTCAGACCACAACAATATTGAAGTCAGCAAGACCTGAAGAGACTTACTCCCACTTGATCTCCATTGAAAGCCCCCAGATATGACAGTGGGAAGAATACAAAAAAATAATAAAGAATTGCATGAAGACTTGTTGTCACTTGGTCTCCAAGTCATTGTTTACATCTACTGGCATGAAAACTCGATGCAACCAAATAATAATAGTGGAAATATATTCTAATTACAGCAATCAGTTAAAATAATTACATACAAGAACAAAGTTATCACGCAAGGAGACATTACCTTGTAGCAACAATAATAATCAGTTCAACTATCGCTGTCAACCTGACCACATTTTCTGACTTGTGCTCTTCTCAATTTAACAATAATAATAATAATAATAGTTATGATGATTCTGAAACAATTAAATGGTAGTTCTTATAGCTTCATGATCACAAGTACCAGTCTATGCACTTTTGTCTCTATTTAACTATCTTCCTCCTTTTAAATAACACTTACTACCACGATGTCAATGATACAGTCAATTTTTATTTAAAAATGCTATCAATGTGAAACGAGCTACAGAGACAGTGCAAAAGAAAGGAGTTAGAGAGTAAGTGCAAGAGAAAGGAGTTAGAGAGTAAGTGCAAGAGAAAGGAGTTAGAGAGTAAGTGCAAGAGAAAGGAGTTAGAGAGTAAGTGCAAGAGAGAATGAGGCATTCATTCTTCCAAGGGAAATGCCGGAGATGAAGAAAAAGGCGGAAACAGTCCTGCAAAACGAAAGAATCAGAAGTAGAATGAAAAAGTTCTTTCTTTAGAGTTCTGTGGGGTAGGTGGTGATGGGTGGAGAGCTACCCAGACGCTCAAGGTGAGAGCAGCAATTCTTTGAGAAAGAATAGGGAACCAATCCAAATACCGGACAATTGACAGAATGAAAACATTAATAACATTTCCAAATTCTTCTTTCATTCGACATTTTGAATAAAACAAGGAAATTATCTCCAAGACATAAATGAAAGTTATAAATGGAACACAATAAAAAAATGGCTAATTCCTTTTTATAGTACATAAAATAAATTATTTCCAATTGTGAAGTCTTAGAATATTGATTTGTGGTCCAATATTAGTAAAATGACGTCTCATAGTTGGTTGTGTGTAAAAGTATATCCTCATCTTTGCTCGTTTTTTTTCTTTGAAGAAAAGCAAATTAGGGCAGGCTTTACATTATCTCCATTTTCACTTCACCGATTGATTTACTGGGAGGTCATTATATCTATCTTTACCTATATCAGTTAATTATGTGCCATGCGTGATACACATCTAGGTGATCATGTATCTTTTGATACATGACTGACCAGGCAGATTTTTTTCCTGCAGTAGGTTGCTATTTCTTTTTGGGGTAGACCAGTTGCCATCCAAGGCTATAGAACCTGGTCTGTTCTGCTATTTACCTATAACTGAAGGGAGAAGAAGAGTATTCATACCTTTCCCAATGGTATTAGTGCATAAATAAATGTAATGTTTGAACTCGGCTCTACCGATTCTTCAATCCGAGCCAATATCCATTACTCCACCATGCCCCCCAAAATACCTATATACACACAGTAAATATATATGTGCCAATGCCTGCCAAAAAAACAGTATATCAAAAGGAATCTTATTCCCTTGACCCCACTATTACTGTATACACTTTTGACTCCCTCAGCAATGTTTATTGTTTTAAAAAGTAATGATTAGAATTTTGATAATGCATAAAAGTCTTTGAGAATTTTGATAACACATAAAAGTGTATTTGTACATTTTCTTTATTCTTTAGAATTGACAACAACGATATTAAACATTATTTATTTATTACTTTGCCTATTTACAAGAATAATTTTATATTTAAAAGATTCTAAAAATATGTTAACCAACTATCATAGAATATTTATTATTTACCATTTTATAAAGAAATAAATATAAAAAAAATTTTTTTTCCATTCATAAATTTATAAAAATGTTTGTGAACAAGAAAATTTAAACAAACACAATGACAATATAACTGTAATTATAAATTCTGAAAAAAAAATAAAAAACATTTTCCAAGAATTCCTTTCACCATATCTACTCACTAAAATAGAATGAGAGCAAATCTTCCTCTTTTAATTTTTAGATGGAGACCACAAACACTAAATATTTTGAGTATGTATCTCCCTATTCATTGGGTAGACAAAGCTTCTATTGTAACCTAGGTAAGGTTACTGAATAGAATAATCACACGAAGGTTAGTAATGAACGATAATACTTAGGACAAGAACAACACACACAAGATTCACCAGCAGTGCTTAGAAGAAGTAGTCAACTGCTAGTAGTGAGTTGAGTGAATTCCACAATGAATCTCCAACTGCAGGATAACTATCAACCACCCCACACAGTCATATGTGGCACAAGGCTGAGTTTAATGTGGGGTATCTGTGCCTGTAGGCTCAGCCAAAATTTCCCTGTAGACCCTGTATAAAACGGGGTTGGGCAGCTGTTTCCTGAGACGAAACTCTGCCCTTTGACAGCCTCGTTTGGGGATTCTCTCTGCCTGGAGGCAGAGAGTTTGACCAGCACAGCTGGAGACAAATCTCCAACTGCAGACCAACATACAGTATTTACTACTGTATTTATGTGAATGGGGACATACCCATTATCATTTGTAGGTATGCTACAACAGTTTCCCTTGTGTAATTACAGAATGTCTGTCATTTTTATAGAGTATTCGGGGAATACAACTTAAAAAATCTGATTTCATAATTACTTATAAAATTGTAAATAAGAAATGATATAATGGACATTGGCTTGGAATAAAAAAAACGAAGAGACGTGTTCAAATTGCAGTCAAGTTCATTACATTCACAGACACACAAATACCCCGGGAAGGGTGTGAACCCATCTCCTCACCCCACAAATACAAGTTGCGATGGGTAAATTGTCGCCACTTTATATTTTTAATATCATGCATGCACATTGTTTATTTTGCTGACTGCACAATATAATAGAATCTGTTGGGCAACTGTCTGTGAGAAAAAGAACATCATGACAATTTGGAAATTGCATCCTGCACTGCTTTGCATTCATGCTGGAATCTCCAATACAAACATTTCAGTGTGTTTGGGTGTCAATCTAAAGACAGTACAGAAACAGTTGGAGGAGTTAATGGTGATTATGAAGGTATTTGCGGTGATCACTAGTGATGGTGACATTATGCCTTCATTCATCTTCTCACAGGGTCTCACATGGAGGTTTACGTCAAGTGCCTTGAGGAGGCAGTGCTGTCCTAGGTCAAGAGGGTAGCTGCTGGAAGACAGTATGTCTGGCAACAGGACTCTGCACCATGCCACACAAGCAGGAAAACCCAGTCATGGCTGTCAGACAATTTCTGCAACCACTTCACCCCTTACATCTGGCCACCTAACTCTCCAGTCACATGTCATCATGACCAAAGCTTTGAGTGTGCTGGTCTTGTTCAGATTGTTGATTATGCTACATAACATCCTCTCTCCCAGAAACTGTAACTAAGGTCAGCTTGATTATTTTTTAATATATATATATATATATATATATATATGGGAGAATATGATATATAAATTTTTATATATCAAGACAATTTTAGGTAAATTAATGACAAAGTGGAAAATATTCTGGGTAATGCATTTCATTCTCTAGATGGACTTCATCAGTACTGATTTTGTTGATGGAATTATATATGTGTGGGAGACAGAAATAGAAAAATGCTTTCCTAGCAGATCTTCTGTTATCACAATGTGAGCTACTTAACAATAAATAGGCTAAAACATAATCATAGAGAAATTGAATCATATCAACCAGACATGTTTTTTGTTTTTTTTAAATTTCAGTGAATTTAGGTATCTTTATAATCCTAGGGATGCACATGGAAAAGGAAGATGGGGGTTTTAGTTCGATCTCAAGTGTTTCTTTTTTATAGTCAGCAGGTGGTTCATCTTCTCACAGGGTCTCACATGGAGGTTTATGTCAAGTGCCTTGAGGAGGTAGTGCTGTCCTAGGTCAAAAGGGTAGCTGCTGGAAGACACTATGTCTGGCAACAGGACTCTGCACCATGCCACACAAGCAGGAAGATCCAGTCATGGCTGTCAGACAATTTTCTGCAACCTTTTGAAATTTAGTTTTATTTAAGTGGCATCCACTTTGACTGATGAGGAATAGGGAAGTAAAGGAATGAATGAAGGGTTTGTAGGGACAACAAAACTGGGTGTAAGGTGTATCTGGATGTTGGTCTATATTAATAGCCAGGCATCGGATCAGTGTCACATGGTTCCGACATCATCCATTTGTATTGCCAGCCACATGAGTAGATGGTCAAGAAGTTGGTTGCAAGGAAGAGCTGATCTATAAAACTGACATCACAGAATTCATCCCAACTATTGCCTTCCTACCAACACGAAGAAGCAAATCCCTAAATAAAAATCCCTATTTTATAATACGGGAAACAGGGTTTGCATTCTTATTTCTCAACATGGCATTTATCTTTCATCTTGTTACCATGTGAGCATGCAACAGGTCCTTTCCCAGCTTTTGGTACACATCGACATGCTCAAAAATCAAAATGCAACATAGGGTAATCATTGGCCGGTCTGTAGAAAGCTTGGATGAGGGTAGCATTCTATGTTTACATTTTAATGATTGATTTATTTTATTTTATGTTTTATCAACCCTTTCTGGGTTATTTAAAGCTGAAACATATTGTGGATTGTAAGAGTAATTCTTTTTTTGGTGTCTTTTTGCAAATGAATATTGCATTAGCAATTTTTGGACAATGATTTTTCCAGTAAAAGTCTTACTATTTAACTTAGTAATGTTTCTGTTTTCTAGTCCTCCACACCCAGTAACCCTTTGTGTCTTAGTGGCTTTACTTCCGTGCTTGGGGTGAACTTGATAAAAAAAAATAAAAGTGGATTGTAATAAACTCAACTGGAATTTGAACACAGGTCTCAGATTTCTCATTTCAAGTTACTACCCATTATACTACCCACATATCCAGGTGTCTTAATGAAATGTCTCTTACAACTGATACTAAATTTGAAAATATGACAACAGTTTCTAAAGCACAACACTGAGCCACCATGCTGGCCTGACAAGAGACAGAGACATGAATACAACAGCAGAAACACAAATTTACTTTCAATATTTTTATGTCGTTTGCCAAATTTCGCCAAGCCAACTTCCTGATGAATATTCAGCAACTGACTGAGTACATTTATCTACAATTTCTTAACACCTTCTTCCAATATCATGTCATGTGACAGCTGAACACACTTTGCATAGAAAGGAGTGAGAGAGAGGTAGGTTTTGGAAACAGGGAAATGGAGAATAGGGTCACCTGATATTGTTGGACTTTTATGAGATGAACTTGATCAGGCAGACACTTTAGCCTGTGGGTTGCTGACAGGGCGTGGCTAGCCAAAAGAATCCTAAAGCTTTTGAATCTGACAGAACCCATAGAGTCATTTTAGCCCAGGGACACAGCTTCAAGAACTCAGAGTTCATACGATTCAGGAATAAAAGCTCAAGGTTAGAAAGATGAACAACCTCGAGGAATCTGCTGGAAGACAAGTGTTTGAAAGAATGACAGATCCACCTGCATATTGAAGGGAGGGAGGCAGCCCCTGAGGGCTGGAGGCCTACCATGCTGAATAGCTTGCTTCTGTAAGATTAAAGAGAGTGTCTCCTCCTGGTGTATTGGATATGAACACTTAAGGATTGCCTTTGTCTAGAAAGATGAAGCAGAGAAATAAAAAGCAAGAATAAAAGAAAAAATTCATTTTGGAAATATCCATACCTATCGAACTTTAAGAATTGGGGAATATCAAAAATGTTTTATTTCTTTTATATGTATTCACAAAAATCCTAAGCTTGTTTCATTCCTGTAGAAACAAAATGAACAACTATGAAACAATGACTACTGCTTGTCTCAAAGTATTTGCAGTCAATATCTAATTTGTTGGTTTATTCCAAGGAATTTTTTTTTCCTGTGGAACCTTTTATATGAAGTGTCTTAAATATTGCATTTTAGTTCATTTAGACTAATTTTCTTGTCACTGCTGATATTTTTTTTCCTTACTTTTTTCTTTATTTTTTTTTTTTTTTTTTAGCCTTCCATCCTAGAAACATAGTCCATTTAAACATTTTGAAATGCTATGTACTTCAGTGTTTCTATGAGGGAAGGCTAAAAAGAATCAAGCATCCAAAATAGTTGAATAAAAAAAACAACTTAGAAATTAGAATAAAAAAGAAATTAGTTCATACAATTTTAAGATTTATACTATTTTGCGCAATTTAAATTTTAAAATATTTGACAATTCTAAATAAGAGGAGGACTGACAGATTAACTTACTTTTGAAAGCCCCACTCTACAGAACTTTTAATTTTGCTGCATATAATTTCTTAGGTGGAGGAAATTTAGCCAGGCTAGGAATTTCAATCATATGCGTAAATCATGTCATAAGAGTAGGATTGGTAGATTGGCTTACTTTTGAAAGCTTTCTAGTACTAAATTTTAAATTTTGTTATTTATGACTTTTGAGGTCAATTTTAATATAAGTGAAGCTAGCTAATGAAAAAAAAGTAATTTCAAAATTTTGTTACATTTGGTTTTCAAATCTGTCCCTATTATCTGTTAGCCACCCATTCTTGCGGCGCTGAATAGAAGAGAAAATCTATTGCAATAGTGGCTGAAGATTTTAAGGATCATGGTTCTGATATAGTTTTATCTAAATTAGCTCAATGAAATTAAAAATTTTTAATCAAAAACAATATTTTTTTATTTGGCAGTCTCTACAAACGATGGAGTCTTCTAGAGTGACTAGCAAATCCTTGTTACATATGCTTACTCAAGCAGATGTGTTTCTTTAACACCCACAAAGGTAACCTGTAGTTTATACTGTAACTATAATTTATATTTTGCCTCCAGTTATGGGTAAAATAGCAGGACAGACTGGGTTCTATAGCCTTGAGGGGCAACCGGTCTAGGAGAAAGTAACTCTGAATTCAAAACTGTATTTAGCCCTGATGTAACACATACTATACAGCTAAAGAAAGGAATGTTCTCATTGGTTTGATGATCCCGACTGCAGTCAAATAATGATGATGGTATTCTAATTATACTGAGCAGATCTTAGTTACAGTTTCTGGGAAAAGAGTGCCAAATCTTGTGTGATTATCAGTTTGAACAAGGCCAGCATTTTGAAACCCTCAGTCATGATGACTTGTGAGTTAGTGTTAACACAACTATTGTCAGCTTCTATTTCATCCAACCAATTTCACTCATAAGGCTTGCTATGTTTTTCAGACACTTCCCAACTGTGATGCCCACTAGGATCATTTCCCAAAGCCAATATTAACAAAAAGTCACCCCACTTGGCAAAACTGACTATGGTGAGATTTGAACTTAGGTATCATGACTGGCCAGGTGCCTAACTTTTGAAAATTTTATTTCAGGCTTTAGATATCAAAGACTGATTTCAGCCTAAAATAATCAGGCAGTCTCTAAAACACTACAGAAAGTAAAATAATATGTATTATGTGTCTTAGCAAATACTTAAATAACTTATTTCTGATAAAAATTCAGGTTTTGGATATGCTCTTGTATTCATTCTAATGAAAAACTTCATATCAGAATTTTAAAACAATTTTGAGTATATTTCTAACACTATAGGTACAAGATGTCAACAATACAACATGGAATAAAGTCAAAAAGAGATAAAAAGATGAAAGAAAGAAATAACTATGTATTTGGTAGCTGACTTATAAAGGTGTTGTCTATAAGACACTGAATTTAAATTCAAGTCATGTCTAGAACCAGTGCCAGATTTACATATATGCTAGCATAGGCTGCAGTGTATGGGCTGTAAGAGTAAAAAATAAATAAAGATATAGGAACAGAGGAAATTTGTTTATTTTCAGATTTAATGGGGCTACTATCAACTAATTAAAAAATCATTATAAATTTTAGTTGAAGTGTAATGAAGCCCCCCCCAGCCACATAAATTCTATTAGTTCAGGGGAGGCCTGAATCTGGCCCTATAACTTTGTTTTGTGAATGATAATCTTTCAATTGTCAATGCTTGTCAATTCCTCAAAGTGGGTAAACTGCATAAGTTGACAATGAAAATATCGAAAACATTTATTGGCTAAAATTTTCTAAAATAAAAGCTTTAATTAGGTATTTACTCTGTCTCCCCACTAAGACAAGTTGCGACACAAAGTCTTTTTTAGGGTGGGGACCTGAGCATGTACATCTGGGTCAGGAACAAAAATTGTCCGCAATTGGTTGCAAGCACCAATCCCTCTCTCTGGTGAAATGAGAGGGCACAGCCTTGGGCAGCTGTTCCTCAGGGCTGGGCACCTCTCAGGATAATTTTCCTGAGATGATAAATAATGTGTTACAAACCATTCCAAGGAGCGGTTTACATAGATAAAAGCTTTGATTAAACATAAAAGAAAGAATGGATTTGGGTAAAACAAAGGCATGCATGCAAAGTCTCTCTGAAACACATTAAACATTTTGAATACACTGAGAACCAGTTGTGCAGCCTTGATGTCATTTGACAACTGATCTGTGGTGTTTGTGCTGTATATGTGCAAATACTCTCCTGTTGGATTACACAGTCAGCAGGAAGATTCTATCAAGTAAATTTGTACACTGTATGACAATGGTTAAATAAATCAGCAAAGTCTTGTAAAGTTTTTTAGGCAAACCATCTGTCATCAACCTTATAGTCCAAATTTTACTCCCTGTAACTTCAAGATCCGTCATCTTCCTATAGTCCAAATATGACTCTCTGTTGAGATTAAGGAGAGTGTGATGATATAGCTGGTGGCAGTTTCCTTTGAGTGGAAGGGATGCTGGGATAGATATGTGAAGAATCAACAGAATACTTTGAAGAGGACTAAAGCACCATTGACTCTGGATTTATTTTTATTAATGTTTTAATATAATGGCTGGATATTTTTTAGACAGACTTTGTTTTTTGATTCTTTTCAAATTAATTCAGAACGTGGGTGATCATAGTTGTCCACAAATTCAGAACGTGGGTGATCATAGTGATATGCTTTTGAAATTACTTACCTGCAAAGTAAGCAACGCAAGCCAGCAGGGCAACGGATATGATCAGTAAGAGTAGGGCCATACATTTCCAACTGCAGCGCTGTTTCAACTGCTTTTTCACCCGGTGGCTTGCGTTGCTAAATTTGGAATAACAGACGGTGTATTCCTGCGGGGCGGCTGGAGGGTATGCGGACACTGTTGTGTTTGCTGTAGCACCAAACTGAGGAAATGTGTACGCATTTCTGAAAGCACAAATGAAAAAGACAAGTCAACAATTATTTAAGGGTTCATTTATTTGGTTCAAGGAATGTAAGCATGTCATCTTTATTATCTTATTGTTTTGGCTGCTTTGCTCTCAAAGTAACTTTTTTTTTTCTTGTTAAGGAAGAAATAAAATTTTGTTTTAAGTATTCCATTTTGTCAGCAGAATAAACAAGTTTCTATACAACTAAATATCTAGTTCTACACACACTATATATTTTAATATATTTTTTTTGTTTATTCATGTCTAAGAAATCTCAAAAAAAAATATTTGTCCTCCAACAGGAATTGAACCTGTATCCTACACAGATAACCTTGCTAACCAGACACTTCCTCTGTAGCTGAATGGTATAGCATGTCAGGCTATATTGTGATTCTGTGTAGGATATGGGTTCAATTCCTGTCAGAGGACACACGTTTTCTTTGAGGTTTCTCGGACATTCAGGTAGGTAAATGTTGTTAATATTGTTTATTATAAACAGAACATTTACTTAAATATTTGTATCTATAAAAATAACAAATTGTATATTGAAACAACAATCCCTCTTTTTATACAAGTTTTTATTCTTTTAAAGACAACTGAAAAGGCACTATATAAAAGCTTTTTGCGTTCAAACAAGAGTTTTCTTTTCTGGTCACTGTTCAAAGTTATGTATATCTGAACATTTTCGGTTATTCATTAGACATTATAAAAATTTTTATTTTCTATTTTTAACTGAATGTGTGAATGAGAAGGAAAGGATAAAAGAATGCGAAGGAAGGGGATAAAAGAATAGGAAAGAAGGGGTAAAAGAATGAGAAGGAAGAGGTAAAACAATGCGAAGGAAGGGGGTAAAAGAATGAGAAATAAGGGGTAAAAGAATAGGAAGGAAGGGGTATTTATGTAAGTTATAGGAATGTTTTATTTTCCAAACATGGCCAATATATTGTGGCCGTGTTCATAGTTAATGTTGAGTGTTGTTTTTTTCTTTTTTATTATTAGTGCTTCCATTATTTTTAATCTTTTTTTACATGTAGATGAGGCTATTATACTTGTATTTTATACTAGTACACACACACATTATATATATTTATTATAATTTTATCATATAGACAAAAACAGTTTATGCATTACAAAGATGCAACTTCGTTTTAGTGCATTTCAATTGCACCTTGATGAGTGAGAACTAAAAATGCTTATGAACAATTCTGCTTGTAGGCAAGCCATATGTGAAACATCACTTCCTTTTTTCCATTTGTTTCAGAAAAAATATACATAAAGCAAAAAAGTGACAGCGTGAAGTGCTTGTTGATAGTAATTTGGTGAAGGATGTATTATCACTATTAGTATTGATCCCTGTTTTGAATTAATGCTGTGAACATTAGAATTTTTATTTCACTGCATTGGATATATATATATATATATATATATATATATAAATTTAATTTTTGGTAAAAGTGATATTTGCCAAAATAAATGCCAAAATTAAAAGAGTGGTCATTACTATTTTCAGAATGAAAATGTTGAACAAAATAATATGCAAAATATCAAACAACACTGACCTTCTTGCAATATGGTTTCTGCCAAGATGGCTTCATCAGGTAACAAGTCATTCATACATATATATATATATATATATACATGTGTGTGTGTATGTATATATATATATATATATATATATATATGTGTGTGTGTGTGTGTGTGTATAAATAAATAAATGTGCATCTACATAGAGTGTGCTATTTGTATTTCTAAATGCAACTCCATCATATACCAAATTTGTCAATTAATTACAAGTCAGAAAAGACCTTTCAGAAATAGGATGAATATATCATTAATTACTCATGGATTTGTACCATTGTGAATATTTAGTGAATAAATACAGGGCTTAAAGGTTCACATTTTATTCATTCTGATTATCAAAGTCTGCAATTTTTCATTTGGCCATTGATGAGGAGATTGCTGCTAATAATAGAATTTGGGAGACGGTGTGTGGATTGAGATAGACTGATAATATTCCACTCGAGTAATGTATGGGACACTTTTGTATAGATATTCCTGCTTACAGTTTTATGAGAAAAGTATGAAAAAAAAAGAGAGGCTGAAAAAACCTGATATATTAATAAAGAGAGGGTGTTTGTATGCATGTTCAGAGAAAGAGAAGAATGTGGGTTTGCAGTTGATTCTATTTAAAGGAAAATTAGTTAAGGAGAATAAGGGAGAGAAATTAAAAAAAAACAAACAAACATTGAGAAAATGTGGGAAAGAAACTAAAAGTAAAGAAGAACATAAAATAGAGAAATAGAAAAATGGGGAGTAGAAAATAATGAGAAAGAAGAGGAGAGAAATATAAAGGAAAGAAGAGAGGAAGAAGGTAAAAGAGAGAAGGATCGAAAGAAGAAAGAACATAAATGAATGATGGAAGAGGATAAAAGAATGAGAAGGAAGGGGTAAAAGAATGAGAAGGAAAGGGGTAAAAGAATGAGAAGGAAAGGGGTAAATGAATATGGAGGAAAGGGGTAAAAGAATAGGGAGGAAGGGGGTAAAAGAATAGGAAAGAAGGGGTAAAATAATGAGAAGGAAAGGGTAAAAGAATGAGAAGGAAAGGGTAAAAGAATGAGAAGGAAAGGGTAAAAGAATAGGGAGGAAGGGGTAAAAGAATGAGAAGGAAAGGGGTAAAAGAATAGGGAGGAAGGGGGTAAAAGAATAGGAAAGAAGGGGTAAAAGAATGAGAAAGAAGGGGTAAAAGAATGAGAAGGAAGTCATGAAACCACAAGAACGTGGTAAAGTTTAAGAATAAGGTAAATAAAAGAAAAAGAAAAGAGAATAGAGGAGAAGAAAAAAGGACAAGTAATCTAGGATTGAAAAAAAGAGGAGAATAAATTAATGTAGGAGATATCATAAAAAAGAGTGAAAGAAAAGAAAAGAAAAATAAAGAGACACAGAGACCTACATAAAAAAAAGACTAATTGAAACTGAAAAATGGAAGATTATGCAAATATGAGAACGCAAGTAAAAAGCAGAAGAGGAAAAAACAGAAAGAACAAAATTAAGTTATAAACGTGCAGTGATTTCCATAAAACGTGTTACACAGAATAAAAACTAGTTTTTGAAGTCCATTCTCAAAGTCTATGATCTTATACTTTGTATTTTTCTTATCCCAAGGTTGTAAATTGTTAGAGTCCTTCTAACATGCTATATAATCACTAATCTCAGCTGAATCTTGCCCAAGGGTGACCCTGAACTAGGCTTACATAGATGTGAAATTCCCTAATGTATTTCTTATCTCCCTAACAGCATTTGTCATTCCTGTGGTGTAATATGTTCCAAGGTAAACCCCCAGAAGCAAAATGAAGAGAAGAAGAAAAAGATAAATATAGTACTACATCTATCCCATAATATTTGTTACATTTGCATATATGTCTCTTATACTAAATGTAAGAATTATTATGGGATAGATATAGTATTTTTTTTACTTTTTAATTGTTTAGGACAAAATTAAGAATTTATTTATTAGTAATAATTAGAAATATATAATGTCTGTCCTTTGATTTTTAACTGAAAAATTTTAAATTTATTAAAAATAGAACTCCCTGAAAATCTGTAAACTCTATTTGATACAGAGTATCAGAGTGCTAAATCATTTGGAAATTGACATGAACACCATATCACTTTGCCTTGAAAATAATCATTATATGTAATGATTAGAAAAATTCCTTAACAAGATGAAATAATTTTATAAATTGGGTATGGATTTGTCTTTCATTTTACTATACTGGCTTTTTAGTTTTTGTTAATCACTAGAATAAATGTAAAGAGTAGTATCATCATGACATTCATCCAGAAATGGATCAGCTATATATACATTCATACACACACATTATATATATATATATATATATATATATATGGGATAGCAAGACATATCATAGCATAGCCACACATCTCTCTATCTTAATTTGACTTTTGAAAATCATAAAACTATGAAACCAGTAAAGATACTCTGTAAATAAATATTTTTAAAGGTTTCAGTTGCATTTTCAACTTCTTATATTATATATATAAATATATATAATTATGAAAGCGGAGACTTTAGAAACACATGGTATTATTTTATTTTGAAAAACTGACACCAGTTTCGTTTCATCGTTTATTATCATTTGCCGTTTTTATACTGAGCTCTCTCTGGATCTATATTCCCTTTGGAATTATCCATACAGATTAACAAATAATATTATATATATATATATATATATATATATATATATATATATATATATATATATATATTGTAATGATACAATATGGTAAATCCATATGGTATTTTCAAGAGGATATAAATCCAGGGAGAACTGTGTCAAAAGACAGAACAAAATTATTATTAATTAAAGAATATCAAACCCTTAAAATCCCATAGGTAATAATTTTTATTTCATGAGAGCTCTAAAAAACAGCAGCTCTCAATCTTCAAGACATACAAACAAATCACAAATTAAATGGGATTTTAAGTCTTTGATATTCTTTCATTTATTATATATATATTTTATTGATTTATTTGTTTTTTTACAGCTTATCAATCTTTAGCAGATTATCTAAAGCCATAAAATAATTTTAAATTGTAAGAATTTGGTAGGGTGTAAATAATAGTGATTTACTGCTAGAAGTCCTACTAATTAACCCATAGCTGTTGGGAGAAGAGGGATCAATATTCAACACTGAATTAAATGCAGCAACAAAAATTATGTTGAAAACTAAATATTTATGTACATATAATAAATATTGTTTTATAGAAGCAAAATATAGATTTAGTAATTTACCGACATTACCTTCAGCATTTAAAGCAGTAAATTTGCAATTTTGAACACTGGAATATATGACATGACATTTTTAAAATCTCCTCGATAATATTACCTTTTCCAATATGCATCTATACTAATGGTTCCCAACCAATTTTTGGCCATGCCCTATTTTGGTATTTCTAAAATTCTGGTGCCTCCCCCTGTAATATTTAATTCTTACATATTCAAAATTTTATTGCAATTCATGGGAAGGAAGCAAACTGAATGCTCACATGTGCTGATTGTCCAACAAAACATGGGCTCTTCCAGCAACATGCATCACACCCTCTCCTTTCTTGACTGAGATATGCAAGTGTGGGGAAATGGGGAAAAAATCCTGTATGCCAATTACACATGTACGTACATACACACAAATTATTTTATGTATGCATACTGTATATGCATTGTATGTATTAACACGCATTAACATTAACACGCTTAGTTAGACTCACTAGAAAAAAAATCACTGTTAATAACTCATTCTTGGATTGCCCCCTTATTCTGTTGTTATAGTAAGCCGAAGGGTGCACATCCTATGCATGCCACAGCAAAATATTCTCATTTGCCTCACATAGGGAATCATTGATCTATACTTTTGAGATTGAAAACTAGTTTTATTTTCATTCGTGAATTAATGAAACATTCAATTTTTTCTTTTTCTTCTCTCCTCAGCCTCCTTTTTTTCTTTCATCTCTTCACTTTACCTTCTTTTTCATCTTTCCTCAGCCTCTCTTTTTTCTTTCATCTCTTCACCTTTTTCTTCTGTTCAGCTTAGCTGTGTCTCCATCTTTTTTCTTTTACTCTCTAAAACAAATGCCACATTCATTCTTGCATATTGGTGCCAAAAATTGTGTTTCCTTTGTTTCAGAAAGACTATTTCTTCAGCATATCATTTTTTTTCTTTCAACTCAGAATTTCTTCATCTTCAAGGTATATATCTTCTTAGACTTAACATCAATCATTAGGCTGTCAGCTGACAACAGTATGGGCCATTTTCCATCAAGCCTCTTCATCATTAATTATTTAGCTCATATCAAATTATAGGAGACTCTTCAATGTCTAGTTAACAACCATGATTGGTCATTATGATGTGTAATTATAAAATCAGAGAGAACCACTTCAACAGGGAAACATCACAATCATAGATAAAATGAAATTCCATAACTCTTAACCAATTTAATTTGATAATATTTATTCAGTTGAGTTAAATTAACATTCCTTTGTAGAAAATTAATTTATCAAAATCATTTGGTGTTTATCAGCAACCATATTTCTTTTTTGTTTGTTACAGAAGCATGCCTTTATCAAATTAAAATTTGTATTTATCAAAAAAGAAAAAAAATATCTTACCTATCTAGAGTGGCTTGATTCATAGCATTTGGGTCACCATTCTGGAAATGTCTTGGATAGTCAGAACCCGACACTTGCTGATATTGTCCTTGGCTTATACTACCTTGTCGGGATGGGACTGTTCGTGGAAACCTTGGCTGGGTATCTAGAACCGGGCAGGAATAAAATGAAACTAAAATAATTCAGTGATAAGGATTAGTAAATTGTATATGAAAACATACAGTAAAAAAAAAAAAATATATATATATAATCAGACATAATTCCATAGAAATATATACATTTTTATAATGATTTATAAACTTATTTATATATACATTATGAAATGGACAAAGGACGAATATTTTCTATGAAAATTTCTCGGACATTCAGGCCGGTAAATGTTATTTAATACTGTTTATTATAAACAGAGCATTTACTAAAATACTTGTATCTATAAAAAGAATGTTAAACATAAAAATGTCTTTAAATTATTTATATATGTAATACACTATATAATTTTATAAGTACAGGACTTACATGTCTGACCAAAGCACAATATGGAAACAAATTATAGAAGGAGAAAAATTACTATTATAAAAGAAAGATCTTTATTGATAATAAATTAATGTGAAGTAAAACAAATTTTACAATTTCATATTAAGTTAAAACAATAATTTATAAAGTCACTTATAGTTTAAGAACACAATTTAAAATATATTTAAATTATTAGAATCAAAATAATACAACGTTCACGATACCACAAACATACAGATTAAAAAGTAATACACTAACATGATATCAAATATATTCCAAATTTAAAAATAACCAATACTATATTTCAAATATAGGTACAATATAACAAGACTAATTCTTGATAGTGATAAAGTCAGTTAAGACTTAGTTTCTTATAGCAAAATACTTTCATTACCTAAAAAACCTTATGCTAAGATATTAATACTTGTATATCAGTTCTGGTCAATGAAGGACATATGGAAAAATCGACTAATGCACTAAAGAAATTAAAAATTGCAAGACTTTAGTTACCACCATCATGTGGCATCCCTCTGTTTTTTCTATAAATATTTTCATGGAAATTCTTCTAAGGAGCTGTTTGCCTTAGTGCTCTGAGTGTATGAATTTCAGTGTGCTACTTGATTGGCAATTAGGTCTCATTGTTTTACTGTTGAACTAGTTAAATGCAAATGTCAGTTCTATTCTAATAGTTTCTTTACTTGCACTTCTCACCTGTGAAACTCTCTTCTGCTTTCTTACTTCAGTCAGTTATATGCCACGTGTGATACACACTTAGGCAATCATGTATCTTTCAATACATGACTGACGAAGCAATTTTTTTTTCCTGCAGTAGATTGCAATTTCTTTCTGCAGTAGACCAGTTGCCATCCAATGCTATAGAACCCGGTCTGTCTTGCTATTTACCCATAGCTGGGCAGAGAGAGAAGAAGAGGATTCATACCTTTCCCAAGGGTATTAGCACATAAGTGAATGTAATGGTTTCGACTGGAATTTGAACTCAGCTCTCTGATTCCTCAATCTGAGCCACTATCCATTACTCCACCGTGCCTCCTCAATTTCTTGCTTAATAAAAAGATAAGTAGTTTTAAAAGCTACAAAGGATAGGAAGTTATCAAGAGTCATGATTGTCCACATCCAGGGTACATAGAAGAACAGCCATTTCTATTGGCTGTTGAGAAAGCATGTTGATTGGACAGATTTTTGATGTAGTTAACAGATATTTGCAGTTGTTAGAGGCTAAACAGACAGAAGGAACTTCTGGTATGTTAAGAGTTATTTCCCCTAGAGTCATTTGCCGAGAGAATCTATTAGGAAACAGGGCATAGAAAGAAACTAGTTCTGAAAACTGTAATAGCGACCAAGCTGCAGACATGGAAGGGTGAGCAATATCTTTATTAGAAGCATAAATCATATGAACTGGTATGTATCACGCACGCTACAGAGCAGGTGTGGATAATAGGGTAGAGATGACATCACACCTGGGGTCTGCGCTTGTGGTGCAGTAGAGAAACAGACTGCTGGCACTCTGAACAATGCCATTTAAACAAACAACAAAAGAGAAAGTGTTCTGGAAGGACGCAAAATCTAATAAATAGATTTATTCACAGGCAAAAACGTTATGTGGCCATTTTATAAAAATATTCACAAATGTATATTTATCAACAGATATTAGAAAAGAAATATTCTTTGAGCAAATAATACACCTGTATGAGTACACAGATATGTGTGTTTCTATGTGTGTACTAATGATACAATGTTTGAAGTAGTATATATATATATATATATATATATATATATATAATGTCATTTTTTGTTTCACCTTTTGAAAGTGATGTCTGAAGATCCAGGGAAAAATAAAAGTCCCTGGTGAAATAAATTATTACAATGGAGCCTTAAAGTGGTCTGTTTTTCTTTAAATTATATATATATATATATATATATATATATATATATAAAGAGAGAGAGAGTGTATATAAGGTGTATTTTGACAGCAAGAATTTTTCAACTTGTTTGGTTATATAATATCATCAAGTTCTGTCTATCAATTTTTTAATTAAATCTTTCAAATTTCCTAATTTACATTATTATTAATATAATAAATGCAAATGTCACACTTTTTCAACTTTACTCCTAGAGGCCATATCCCAACATATCATACCATTTTGGAATCAGGCTGACTTTGAGCAAATTAAAACCATTCCAGGCCAGATCCAGATCCACAATCATGAAATTCTGGATTCGCAAGTCTTCATTACTGTAACTGTTTTCAGTGATTTTTACCGTGATTTTTTGCAACAAACTTTTTTTGTACGATAACAATTTTTTTAACTTGGAAATTAATTTAGGGAATAATTAAAATTAATTGCAAAATCCAGCAAAAGTCATCCATGAAATAAAAATATTTGTTTGTCTGGAAAGTAAGAACCTATGCACATCAAATTTTCTTTATTTACATTATTCGGACTATTGTCCTCATCTTTGTCGCCATATTTATCACATTGTTTTGGCCGTTGTATGCTGAAGGCCGGAGCGTACAACGGCCGAAACGTTGTGATAAATATGGCGACAAAGATGAGAACAATAGTCCAAATAATGTAAATAATGTACATAATACCTCATCTCAGAAATATAGACAGAATCAAATTTTCTTTAAACTAAGTGGTGGCAGAATTATCGTTGAACTTTTAAAAGGTAAGCTTAAATATTAATGCAATACTTAAATGCAGCAATCAGTTTAAAATTCTTCTGTAGTTTATTGTTGCCTATCGCATCTGCTCCTACCTACCTATTGTGATGAAGACCCAGTCAAGAGCCCTTCGCAATAGCTAGCTTAAATGCCACCTTATAGGGCAGCTTTTAAGCTAGTTTACGATATTAATGCTTAACTATCTCCCTACTTCTAGCTTCTTTCCTTGAAAACAACTAATGATGGTGAAAAATACTTGGAAAATTGCACACACAATTTTGGTAAGTTCCTTTATGATCCCTCCTCCACCAACACCAGATGACTTAACACCAGGAGAAAGTCACCAAATTGTTTAACAGATATTTCTTGTCCATTCTATTCAATAAAACATGTTTAAATGAAGGACTGCTACTTAGGATTGGATTTTCCAGTTCCTTCTAAAGTTTACTTCAACTTTATATTTTTAATGTCTTCACCTGAACTCTGAAATTATGTTCACTAATTTTCTTTATTTATTATTTTATAATTTTCTTTTTCCTCAATAGGAGTAGATAGGTTGACTTTTCATCAGGTTCACACTCCTCCCCAGTCTTTTAAACAGGAGTAGAGGTTTATCCGTTGTTTCTGGTTTAGCATTGGGTTTCTGGTTCCTTCTAAAGTCTACATCAAATTTATACTTCTAACATCTTCATCTAAACTCTGAAATTTTATTCATTTATTTTTCCTCAATACATACATATTTAAGCATCTATCTAACCTAGATGACATCAGAGCTAATAAACATTTATATTTGAAACAGACCTATTGCTTGTCATTACTGGTAAGCAACTGACAAGCTAAGAAAATGAGAAAGTACTACCTGTTTCTACAAGGGTGACCCAGACAAAAAAAAACAAAAAAAACAAAAAAAACTTATCCTCCATGAACACAAATTGTTGCCATTCATTTTCAAGAAGATTTCAAATCATTATCTTCATAAGCTTCTATTTGGAGTTACTGCTATATTACACATACCCATATCTATTCTGAAAACAATTGGAGCAATATACTGTTTACAGGCTTTTAATAAATTAGAAAATGTGGAGAGCCATGATTGCCTATATCCTGAAGGGGCATGGCATGCTTTAAAAAAAAGTAAGATGTTCCTGTAAAATGAGTCTTTTTATGAGCTGAAAAGCTCTTCATTATAAATCATTGATATATTTACAAATAAAAATAAAAAACAAATAAAAATAAAAAAACAAATTAAAAACAGACAAAAATTAAAAACAGACAAAAATTAAAAACAAACAAAAATTAAAAACAAAAATCGAAAATTAAAAAGCAAATATAAATCAGATGATAAAATCAAATATAAATCAAATTATAAAAAACAAATAAAATTTAAAAAACAAATAAAAATCAAATAATAAAAAACAAATAAAAATTAAAAAACATAAAAATTAAAAAACAAATAAAAATTAAAAATGAATAAAAATAAAACAACAAATAAAAATAAAAAACAAATAATAATGAACAAACAAATAATAATAAAGAAAAACAAAAAGACAAATAAACATAAATGTATATCTGCTTATCAAAGGGCAACCTTAATTTGCTAATATATATATATATATATATATATATATATATATATATATATATATATGGAAACAAATCTATGATCAGTTCTAAAATCTTAGCATTAAATCACCAAGTAGAATTTTTGTTGCTTGTTGAAATGTGTGTCATTGGCACTAAAGATTTTGCTGACTATTTACTACTGTCCAATTGCTGCCTCCTCTTGACAGATCAGACTCCTGGTGGGTGTTGTCAAAAAAGAGATGAGAAAGAAAAACAAAAAGAGAAAAAAAAGATTTAACAGAAAATGTCAGCCATGACATCTGTAAGCAATACCTCAACATTATTTTGGAAACTTAATTGCCTCGAAGTATTTCTTTCAGAAAAAACAGCTGGAATCTTTGACCTGTCAGGTATGTAATTTCTGCATGTGTTATACTGATGTATACATACACACTTGGCATGGCCATACACTGTGCATATATGGCACTTGTGGGTGTTTAAATTTGTTTATAGCAGTTTTGATAAATTTCACTCATTGGATGAATATTTTTTCTAAATATTATTATAGATTGTCATGTGCTTTTCTTAGTGTCACTAATCTCATATCTCTATTTCAAAGAACATCACAAATATGGAATGTACTGTGAATTAAAATGCAAAACACAGGCATTCACTTGTCATATTCAAGGATTGAAGATAGAAGTTAATTGACTGATTGATTTCTTTTCTATGGTTTATCAACCCTTTACAGGTTATTTAAAGCCAGAAAATATTTAAAATTGTTAGAACTTTTATTGATATGATGATTTAGTGATACAAGTTTCACTAATTAATCCTTAGCTGGGAGGAGAAGAAGTGGATTTATACCTAATCAGAATTTGATAAACAAACAAGAAATTATAATGCGGATGTAAAGTGAGGGATCAATTCTATATTAAACCAATATATAAATTGACCCCTCATTTTGCAGCTAGTATAGTTTCTATACATTTATATTACATAGAATTTAAATAAATATTAAAGACATGTTTGTGTAGCTAATCAGTATTTCATTGATTGATTGGCTGATTCATTTTCTATGGCTTATCAACCCTTTGCAGGTTATTTAAAGCCAGAAAATATTTTTAGATTGTAAGAATAATTATTTTGGAGTTAATGATTTAGTGATACTAGTCTTATTAATTAACCCATAGCTGGGGGAGAAGAAGTGGATTCATACCTTTCCCCAAGCGTATTTACATGTAAGTAATTATAACGAATCCAAACGGAATAGGAACTCAGCTTTCCGAAGACGAATGTTAAGAGATAATACAACAGTTTGGAATCAGAAAGAAAATTACAAATGCAAAAGGAGATATATATATGTTTTATAGATAATGTAAAAGCATTTGTTAAGTGATATTGATATGTGACTTGTCCTTTTAGGACACGGGTGATCATGGCTCTCCCCAAATTCTATCCTTTGGAACTCTTAATAAATTCTGTCTTTTTGTTATCTCTCCTAAACCTTGTTCCACCATCCATTTTCTCAAGTCCACATGCATTGTTTTCTTCTGTCTCTCTTGCCTTCAGTCTATCCTGTGAGTATCAAATTTACTAAGCTGCCTTTCCTCATTATGTACCCTAGAAATTTCAACTTCCACTACCAGAGGCTAAGGATAAGTGTCTTTTTTGTTTCCATTTCTCTAAAGAAAAATATCACCAATACATTGAAACTTTAAATATTATAGCTCTATTCTATAAGTAATGCTTGCTTATCAGTCAGTAATGATTACCTTAATTCCTTAATAGTGAAAGCTATAATAATATATTTACATTATATATATAATAGTTTGATTCTGTCATTAATGCTTACCTTAATTTTACCTTGAAAATCAACTTACAGTATCTTGCACCCAAACTGACCAAGAGGGAGCAATTACAAATTCTTATGTGAGGTGTACCAAAATGTATCCATTTTTACCCTCTAAAATTAATAGCGTTATAGATATTTAACATATAGGTAAGCATTAAAACCTGAGGTTTTTAAATATTTGTTACATCATTTCACAGGTTAAATGTACAATAAATATTTTCTTTATTAATTCCCATTGCATGCTTTTAGTATCTGTTCTTTCGCTATAAATCTAATTATGAGAAAATGAAATGTCTGATATAAGATTCAAGCACCTTATATCTCACAAATTTATAAATAACGCAACTGATATTTAAATAATGTCCAATGCATTTCTGTATTAAAGTAGCACCCAGTAAAATTCTATAGTAATTTCTAATACTTTTCTACATTAATATCCAATGTATTTCTATAGTAAAGTAACACCCAGTTTAAATGTGTAGTGATTTCCAACACTAACTTCCAATAAATTTCTGTAGTAAAGTAACTTTCAATACATTTCGGCATTAATTTCAAATATATATTTACAGTAAAATTATTTCTAATATATTTCAGTATTTATTTATAATACATTCCTATAGGAAAAGAATTTCCATTGCATTCCTATAATAAAAGTATTTTCCTTGACACTCATATATATATATATATATATATATATATTACGCACTGTTTTATACAAGTGAATGAAAGTTTTGACATGTTAGTTTCCTAAATCCTACTAATGATATAAGGGGTCAGATAATTAGTATACAAACAGATTAAAGGCTTACCAGGAGGAACAAACACATTCCCAGATGCAGTTTGGACAAGATAATGTTGTTCAAACTCTCCTTCTCCCTCCGAGTAGTTACATCTTCGGCAGGTGTTCTCCACTTCAGAGTAATTTCCTCTCTGGGAAGGTCCAAAAGATTTCCTCCGTGTTGATGCCACAGGACTTCGTTGAGGAATGTCTTCGATTGGAGGTGGTGGCGGTGGGGGCGGTAACGACGGAGGTGGTAACTGCAATGTTCCTGGAAGAAGGAAATGGAGACTCTTGTTCAAGTTCTTTGAATCATAGAATTGTTTGGTGATTTTTTTTTTTTTTTTTTGGTGATTCATATTGCAAAAAAGACTTTAATTAAATCTTTTGACAGCATTATTTACCAAAGAAAATTTCCAGTTATGTAGGAATTTTTATAATTCTGGATTGGGGTTAGTTTTAAATCTAACAGAAATTAGAGTGATTGAATGGTACTGTTCTTGAGAACGATGTGTATTTTAAATCTGACAAAGTTCCTAAGCAATATGTTAGTGAGTTTGATGTCTGCAGGAAGATTATTCTTTTTAACATATCTTTTATAAAAATTCTTATGCTTTCCTTGCAAATGAAACTGAATCAATTTTTAAAATAACTGCAAATGTAAAACATAATCCACATATAGTTGGATGGAGATGTATTCTTGCCTTTTCCAAGGACATTAGGGCAAAGTGAATCAGCATGCTAATTTTATTTTCTTAGCTGATAACTCTTACACTAGATACATATGCAATGTAAATAATCTTCATGAATTTATCTTCTATAAACTTACTTAAATGAAATCCAACTTTGGTTATACAAGAATGTTTTTCTATATATTTTTATCAATGCTGTCAAAAATTTCAAATAAAGTATATATACAAAATGAGATGAATTTGTTCTTAACAAGTGATAATTTAAATAATGAGTGTACAAAAAATATTTTAGATATTTCAACAAAGAAATATAATTTTTTTTATTATGAGTTCTTTATAGATTTCTTTTTTATCTTGTTTATTTTCTTGAAACTTTCACAATAAAAGATGGTAAAATAAAATTAATATAAAGTATAGATAAAAAGAAGAGATCAGAAGCCTGTGAGAAAAAAAGAAAATTTATAACAATACATAATGATTATAAAAATAAATTGATACAAGGCATTTAAGAGTTAACAGTTTTATAAGTAATTTTCATTTTTAGACAATTAAACAAGGCCAATGATCAATGGATATCATACTGCAAAAATTTTTTTTTTTTTAAGTAATCTGCTTAGTAAAGCAGAAAATAAATATCAAATAATTAAAATTTAATAAGCAATTGATAAAAATTTATAAAAGATTTTTTTAAAATTGAATAAATAAATAAAGAGCCCCAGAAAATATTTAAATTTTAATTTTACTGTTAATTTCCATTTTGGTGCAGTCTTTACAAAAATTTCACAAAAAATGAAAAATATTTTTGCAACATGATACATTTGAATATTGACATAGGATATAGAATAAATAGGCAGAGCAATATAATAAAAAAAAAAAAATGATACAAAAAGAAAAAATTAATTTGCATTGGTGAAATGCAAATTTTCAAAAGAATATTTCCTTGATTAGACATACATAAAAAAAATTTAAATCATGATTTAAAAAAAAAAAAAAATAACAAAAACACTTAATTAGAAAGAAGCTTAAAATTTTGCTAAAGGTTATTTCATGCAGACAAAAAATGACTATTTTAAAATACCCTAGAAAAAAAAATGGTTTTAATCAGTAAACTGACTTGATGAATATTCTCATTAAAACTAATTTTTAATTCCACAGATTAAAAATTTTAATATGAAATGAAATAAAAGAGAAACAAAAATATAATAAAAAATGATATGTAAGTAATATGAGGAAACAAATATATTTACTCTGAAAATATGTTTAAGAATGGAGAGGTATCAAATTATATATATATATATATATATATATATATATTCATGAATTATTCACACAAAAACAAATGCAAAGGTTAATGATTTAATTGGCGAGAAATCCATCGTCACAAACAATTCAAATAATATATAATTTGTTTTTGTGTGAATAATTCATGAATTTGTAAATTGATTGCACGTTTATCGTAATATATATATATATATATATATATATATATATATATATATTTATTTGTGTGTGTGTATGTGTTTGTGTGTTTCATTGAATAATATAAACATATTGTGTCTATTTATTTTATACTGATCCTTTCCAATTCTATACATAGTTTCTTGATGTTAAGATGAAATTCATCAAGGAAGGCACCATAGATTTATTTAACCCAAGATTATCTGCAGGGGTATATATATATATATATACATATATATTACTTCATACTTCGTTTTTAATGGATTTCCATATTTGAGTAGATACTCTGTTTCTTTTTAACAGTGTTTATTTCATCTACTGGCCAGGAGATATCATCGTTTGATCTGCTGTATTAGACCTGCTCAGCTACAAAGAGCTTTACAAGCAAGGTTCTATTTGCCTTTTATAGCACACTAACTCATTCAGATTTTATCAAAAGCTCTATCTGTTCAATGTCATATCCAAAATGTAAACAAAGCAATTTTTAAAGAATTAATGGATTTTATGTTTTTTTAATTCAGCATATTTTAAAATAAATGAAGAATTTACTCAAACAAGGATAACCACTAATAACAATGTCTGAAGTATTTTATATATGGAGAGAGAGCAAGAAAGAGAGAGAAACACAGGGGGTGACTGAAAAGTAACTCATCATTTTAAAATACTTATAATTTTTATAAGAAATGGATGAGATGAAATGTGGTTTAATTTAAAATTCACTATGAGCACCAGATTTTGCTATCAGCTTCTCAAGCCAACCCAGGAATCATGTCAACTGATTTCACCAGGAACTCTTGTGGTATGGACGACACAACGTCTTGTATTCACCATTCAACTTTTTCCAAAGTCTTGGTTTGCTATAATAGACTTTAACCAATCCCAAAGAAAAAAGTCACAGTGTGTTAAATCAGGACTCCTGGCTGGCCACTTGTACATAAAATAGGAGTTACTTTTCAATCACACTATATATATATATATATATATATCTTAGGAAAAATGATAAAATGTAAAAAAAAAATTTTTTTAAATTGTGTGATGTGTTTTGTCCTTCAGGGCTTCATCTTTCTAAAGTAATGTTTTTATTGATGAAATTATATATGTGCATGAAGGAGAGGAGAAAATAAAAATGTAAACATTGATTATAATTATGCATAGATAGCTAAAAATGTTAGGATGCTGAAATTAAAACTTTAATTTTAAAAAATTTTTTTTTAGATGTATCTGGGTATATATATTGTTCTGATATATAAAAATTTATATATCGTCTTCCATATATATATATATATATATATATATATATATATATATATATATATATATATATATATATCAACTTCTGCATTATCTGTGGCTCTACTTTTGATGACAGTGTCCAATGTTGATCATGCAAAATGCAACATTGGTGGAGCTGAGACTTTCCTGATGTCGTCACTATTTTGTTGGGCTAGCCATGTTGCAAGGATAAATGATGACAGAATACCTAAAGTTCCTCATGTATAGCCAGCTTGACAACGGACAAAGGAGTGTTGAACGGCCATGGCTCAGCTATAAAGAGAAGCTAAAGAGTAACCTCTCAGTTGTCAATGTGCCTCATACTAACTTTGTGCAAGTTGCTCTGGATAGAAATAACTGGAGTTATCTGTGCCAGAGTGGTATCAGAAATTTTGAAGTCAGCTGTATTAACTGGCTAAGAGATGAAAGACAGGAGTAAAAAGCATCAACAAATATTCCTGTGTCTATATTCCGAGATCCTAAATGCACAATATGTTTATTCATATGCAAGTCACTAACAAGACTAAAGTGCCACATACGACACAAACATAAAAACTGAGGGAGTTTGTTGAATCTTCATACATCGAAATCATTAGTAGAGTGCATCATATATACATACACAGACAAAAGGGTGTTGAAAAGTGTTTGGTCTAACCAAACAGTCTATTTTAGGTCCCCTTGTGTGTGTGTATATATATATATCTCATAATTTTGTGTGTGTGTATATATCTCATAATTTTCTTGAATCTTGGTCTTTTATTGTCCTCAATAATATTCCTCAGTAACACCTTGCATCTTAGTGGCTTTAACACCTTGCTTGAGGTGAAATGATTAAAAAAGAAAAAAGTCCCCAGTACCATCTATTTATGGAAATGTTTGCAAAATTTGTCCTGATTCTTGTGCTATCGTCATTTCTCTTTGATCATTTCCACTTAAGTTGTCACTGGCACAACAAAGAGCTTTTTTTTTTCTTTGTTACTATAACAGGAACTAAAAAAATAAGAGAGATTTTGCTAAGTGGATCAGGCCAAGAACTTTTCAGCACTCCCTTAATATAAGCTAAATCTGACACAAGATCACTTTTCCCAGATGTTTTTTTTTTTTTTTTACTAAGAGTTAAGTTAAAAGATTTATAAATATATATCCAGTAAAGATGGCAGTCAAATCTAAGACACCAAATGACAGTGTAGATTCAAAAGTTGTTTATATGTGCAGATTCTCTTGGGAAATTAGCTCTATGCAGAACTTTTCTCTTTGAAGTCCACACTTGTTATCTAAGGTTTCAAGAAGAAACTTCACCATTATTCCATGAATTATTCAAACTCATATCTTTGTATTATATTGGAATTTATTTGAACCAGTTTCTTCAACTTTTTATCACATCTGAACCAGTGTATTCTCTTGCTGGGCTTGGTTAGTACCCAGATGAGTGACCACTCAGGAATACCAGGTTCTGTAAGCTTGGATGTATAGGTGATGAAATGGATAATGGCTTGGAATCATTAATCAAAGAGTCAGTCAGTTATGTGCCATACATGATACACACTTAGACGATCATGTATCTTTCAATACATGATTGAAGAGGGAAATTTTTCCCCGCAGTATGTTACCATTTCTTTCTGTGGTAGACCAGTTGCCATCCAAAGTTACAGAATCCGGTTTGTCCTGCTATTTACCCATAGCTGGGGGGGGAGTAGAAGAGGAAGGTACATACCTTTCCCAAGGGTATTAGCAAAGGTATGAATCATCCTTTTTCGAGTAATTTTTTGCCATTTGCAAGAATCTACGACTATTGATTTTAGAGTTCTCATTGAAGTACTACCTCACAAATTCTGCTATGGTGATTGCA